CCCCAACTTATCAGTAAAATATCAGCTTAAAAGCTTTGAATCACGTCTGGCGGTTCCCTCGTAAGTCAATTATCTTTCATTGAATGATTTTCTTAATGAGGGACATCCAAATATTGATTCATTTTCATGATGAACATCGATAACATTATTTTTGTGAATTAATTATTCAAAAGCAAGATGAAGACATTAAGTTGTTAAGAAAACAAAACAAGCAACATACTTCCGTTGTTTCGCCTATTAAGACTGACTCCTCGATTACGACTGAGCCTTCATCTTCTTGACCACAACAATTAATGCAGTGGNTGGGCGCCGTTGTATTTGAAAGAAAACTGCGTCCTCCTTTGGATGAGAGGAAGAGATCTTTTTTTATTGTTGTTCTATTTAATTTTTTGGAGCGTCGAAACCTCTAAAGCCTTGAAAAAACATCAGAGGTTTTCCCGAATACGAGATTTTCTACAGTACTAGAGCCCATTTAAAAAGTTCCTTCCTCTCATCCGAAGGAGAATCAAATACTCTAACAAATAAAAAATACTGTATTTCTCCAGAACCAAGCATATTGAAAGAAATTTGTCCAGAGATTGACCTTTGATACAAAACCGGTTTTGAGAAAAACACAACAACTTTTGTTTGGATTTTATCTACCTATAGTCAAACAGTAACATCAAATATCGCGATATGCTATATCGATTGCTAAAACTAATCAAGATGCGTAGGACTATGTGTCTACAAGAAGTAAATGTCTATCAATGAAGAAAACGAAGATTTTTCATAAATAGTGTGTGCCATTACCGGTTCCATGCTTTTGTCATCAATCTAGATTTATCTATTAGATAAAATTAATTAACTAACCAAGATAAATAGTTCCATGAATAAATAATTATCTGAAACATTGTCATCGATCTCAAAAAGAATTATTCTGAAACGCAAATATGAAAAAGACAATTGAAATGTTTGCTTATTTCGATTAGTTCGTAATGTTGACTATGTAAGAGTTATATTTTATGAAAAGTTTCTTAGTTAGATTGAAATTAGTATTTTTCTACTGAAAGATAGAAATATTTGTTCAAAAAAAAACAGACAAGTTAATGGAGATAAAAAAGAATAATTTCATCAAAGTCTGCCATTGATTGGTCTATAATTGAATTGTGAAAATTCTTCGATAGAGAAGATATTGTTCTTATCATTGAAAAATATTCATTGAAACGATGATGAAATCTCTGATTGTTATTAATTTGTTGAATCAATAAATAAAATATTCGTTTTATTGGAAAGAATTATTTAATGAAAAGGAAAATTCGTTGTTTATAAACAAAACTAGAGAAAAAAACCGTAAACAAAAGAGATCAAATGTTAATGTTAACGATGATGAGCTCTTTCGTCTGTTGCTTTAGCTTTTTCAAAATATTGTTGTTCAGCTGAAATTGGTTACATATGTTCATAAACATCAAAGTTGCCACATAAATATTGTATAATATGTCTTGGTGTTGAAAAATTATCTGAATCCGAATCAGGTATTTCAGTTCAAAAATCATCTTCACATGCTGCTGTTATTTTAACAACATCTAATGAATCAAGACCAAGATCTTGAATAAATCGTGAATCTAAATTTATTTTATTTAGATCAATTTTATCAAATAGACATCGGCTTGTCCAAGCGTAACGCTGTGACATTTTGGCAAATTGTTTTGCAATTGTGTCGAAAGGCATAATAGCTAACAAGACCGTTCAAACATCATTCGACGCAGTTCATCAGAATCTATTTATGTTGCGACAATGACCTAGTTTGACCGAACTCTCGCGTAACACTGTGACAAAAAAAAGACCATTGTTCTGTAGGGCTGCTTGTAAAACTCGAATTTTTTCACAATTTATTTCTTCAAATTAAATGCTTATGGCACGAGTGTTGTAGAGAATTGAATGAGCTTTCAAGCAGTAAAAAATACTTTTTCTAAACTATTTTCGCTTAGATAAAAAAAGCAAAAAAACAAACGTAATGCAATGACATTATTCATAACGCTGGGACGCGTTTTTCTGCCGACCAAATTTGAAGCACTAACACATGCTTAAAAATATTTAATGTTTATATATATTGATCGCTGTCGTACATATATCCTTCTATAAAAAAAATCAAGTTGCTACATTGAAATAAAAGCTCAATAATTGTACAGTTAGTTAGAAACTGTACAAGAGCTTATAAGTTGTGCTGAGGAATGAGAATAAAAAATTAACAGACCATTTTGTAGAGAATCAAATTCTGCATCGAATGGTATATTAGGCTGCATTTTTGTTTTAAATTTCTTGATTAGAAAATTGAAAATACGACTTTTGAAAACTTTAAAACTTACTTTTCGATGCCAAAACTCATTTTTTTAAAAGAAAGAAAGTCCAAATTCATAACCAGCGTAAAAAGCTGTGCCAGAAAATACGCTTAGGTCTGTCCATATCGAAAAAAAGGGTGAGGGTGAGGGTGTGGGTGTGGGTGTGCGGGTGCGCAAGTAGTTTTTCATACAAGCACACCCACACCCACACCCCACACCAAATTACTGTTCGAATTTTAATAAAATCTTTGATCTTGTAATAAAAGTCAAAAAAGTGATCTAGAATAAAGTTTCTTTCTTTCTTTGAATGGTCGAACATCTAAATGTGCATCTATATTAATCACATAAACAGATTTCTTTTCGTCGAGTTAATTTTAATAAAGCTGAAGCATTCGGATACGATTGATCATTTCCAGCATTAGCAACATATGGAATTTTTCATTTTTCAATTAGACGATAAATAGATTTATCTAATTGTTGATGGGCTTCTTCTAAAGAAAGATTTTCTTCAATATTTCCTCCATCTGATATAGTTAAATGTTTTCTTCGATCTAAATCATCATATTCAGCATTAATAACAGTTCCCGTTCATTTTAAAAATCGACAAAATACATGAGGTATGTGGATCAATTTTTCATAGATACCACTCGGCTATCTTTTTCATTTTATTTTTTTCTATTGGTAATTTATCTATCGAATTAAAATGAAAATCGAGAACTGAAATTGAACAGGAGGAAAAAAATAATTTGACATTGAATTGAGTTATACTTTTATGGTAAGCACATCATTTATTGCCATTAAGGTGCCAAACACACTAGGCAAAGTAATAAAACTGAACTAAAGAATTAGATAAACATTGCTATGTCGAAACATCAATCAGATAGCTCAGTTCTATTGGGTTGATGCAAAAGTCTCCGTCGATTTTTTTCTTCTTCTTGGTTTCAAGATTTTATTGGAACAAAATATTATCAATCAACAACATATACACCATTGTTATCTACTACATACTCCCATCTTTTAGGCAAATCCAGAATACCATCTTCAAAGAATTTCTTAGGTAAAGACAAAAAAAGGTTTCGAGATCAGATTTTAGGTGGGCTTGGTCATCGAAGTGTTTTTTGACCAGTTGATTGCGGAGGGATCGAAACAGATGATAGTCAGATGGTGCCAAGTCTGGTAAATATGGTGATTGGAGTAAGACCTCCCACCCTATTTCTTCCAGCTTCTGGCGGCTAAATTTTGAGACATGAGGTTTTGCATTATCATGAACCAATCGAATTTTTCGTTTTTCTAGACGATTTGCCTGTAGAGTAACCTTCAAATTTTGGCAGTAAAGCTTCGAGTCTATCGTAGTATTAATAGGTAGAAGTTCCCAGTAGATTATCCCTTCGCAATCCCACCAAATCGATAGCATCACCTTTTTTTGGGTGCAGGTCGTTTTTGGTTGTGGCTCGGGCAAATCTTCAGGATTTACCCACTGGTGGTTGCGTGTATGGTTGACACATAGAACCCACTTTTAATCACCAGTAACTATCCGCTGAAGAAATCGATGTCGGTTGCGTTTTGACAACAAAGAATTGCATATGGTGATTCTCTGCTGTATGTTGTCCGAGGTTAATTGATGTGAAACCCATGTTTCAAGTTTATTAACTTTTCCCATTTCATGCAAATGGCGATCGATGGTGGATTGGATGCATCCGAGCATTGCTAACAATTCACGGGTGGTTAATCGTGGATTGTCTTCGATCAGGACCTTTAATCGTTCAATATCAGATTCGAGAGGACGTCCAGATTTCAGACGATCTTCTAATGAAATGTCACCTTCACGAAATCGTTTAAACTAATCTCGGCACGTTCGATCAACAACAGCACCTTCACCAAGTGCAGCACATATATTGCGGGCAGCAGCACTAGCATTGTTCCCTAATTGGAACTCATACAAAATGCAGTGTCGGATATAAATAGGAATCTCTGACATGTTTTAATGAAGAATGTAAATAAACTGGGACATTTACCAATGCCATCTTATAGTATGACACAAGCAGTATCATATGTGTGAAAATCACGAATGCATATTAGCGCTAGAGGGCTTTAAGAAAACTTTTAAAAAATCGGCGGAGACTTTTGCATCAACCCAATATAATAATTCGTCTAGTCTAGTCTGTTTGTTTCGTAAGAATGATTATTACTCAGATTTTTATATTCATTCATTGTTCTCCTGATAAAGACTTTCTTTTGTTCGATTGTATTTAGTATATATACGGTGTATCACACCCTCAAGTTCATTATTGATCATTGAATCTAGAAATTAGTGCGAAATTATTTGACGGTATTTTTGTAGAGAGAATTTCCTTCGAAAGTCGTTTTATTATTAATTGTGATACTTATTTCACAATTTACCTTATTGAACATTTGTGCTGTTCAAAAAAAGAACATTGGTTTGAATCTTTCATCTAAAATAGCTCCATGTACAATGGTCTTCGAAGTGGAATGTAGAAAAATAGTTGATACAGAGGAGATTTTCAGTGACAACGACGGAATCTATGATTGTACTCTGAATAAAGTAAGAATTATTGTAATTGTTTTTAAGTGTAAATAAGAATGGTGATTATTTTGGTATCTAGGTCGATAGTAACAATGTTTCTATCACATATCGAATGCAATTGTTGAAAGTCAATGAACAAACAAAGTATTATTTGTTTTTAGACGAGTAGTTACCATAACTCTGTTCGGAAGTCATAGAGATTCTTTGTATTTTTTGTTTCAGATCAGTTGGTGGTCGATCATTGGAATCATTTCATTCTGATATTGAAGTGGCAAAGTTGAAATTTTCTTCCATGTAAGCCGTCACAGCTAAAAACATTCATTAAAAAATCCTTAATATTATAATTTCCTTTTTTTTTGAAGTTTTCACGATCTTACGGGAAATTATTGGCATCTTAGGCAGCATTTTATTAATATTCCAGGTCATTATGAATATATTTATCCAAATGAACTCAATTCTTCGGTTAGTTGCGGACAATTCAAATATAATGTAAGTAGGTTTTTATACATTTTGACTTCCCGCTTTATGACTATTTAACACTGAAAGGAAATACTACGAAGAGCATTTCATGTAATTAAATTTCAATGTTACACACATGAAGATATTCCAGATGAGACAGAACTAGAAATAGATGAAATCATCTATTAGTATATAGTAAGCTTAAGATCGAAAGGCAAAAAACAATGAGGTGCTGTAGATGCTTTTGATTTTGAAAGAAAATCATTATGATCGTCTTGTTTTCGGAAGTTAATTTGAAGAGCATAATTGTGTAGATAGATTTTCGCAAACCAAACAACATATTGTCACAATCAAAGTTCGACGGATGTATTCTAACACGAAAGAAATGAGTTCGAAAGTAATTATTTTCAATAGTTAGAGCCAACAGATGCAGAGAAATGATCGAATATAATAGTTTGTAGAGTTTTTGCAGAGATATTTCCAAGAAAATACTTGAATACGCTCCAATTGATTAATCCATTCAATAAATGTTATATCTCGGCTTTTTCTGAATCGATTATGTAATAATTATTGAATTGTTTCCTTTGGCGAATAATCATTTTTGATAGCTACCATTTCCGTAAAAGTACTTATCTAATGGTTGAATGATACTTGAAGAGACATTGTCTCCTTGTTCATCGCTATTCGTTCGTTTTATTTTCGGTGCGAAAATTTCTTTACATTGAACTGTTTTTATTTTATTAGTTAAAGCTTTATTTTGATTCTGATCGTCTCTTTTTCTTAGTCGAACTCTGAAGAGGAACAAGCGGGTTTAAACCAGATCAATAATGCACCGAAATTTCATGTAGGCGAACGAGCTTTTTTTAATGTTGAATCCAATACGATTGAACAAACATATCCATACATCAACAGTGGTGATGATTGGCAAATTGTTTTACCAAAGATTCCTCAGGAAAATACGATAATAAAACAGTTATTGAATATTCGTAAATCTATATTACGCATTGGAATTTTATATGAACATAGATCAACTAGTCAAATGTTCTTTGGTAGTGGATGTCTTTTAACAGACGAACTCATTTTAACTTGTGCCCACAATTTTGATGTTATTCAATGGGGCAACGAAAAAATTCCTTATAGTAGGATTTATGTATGTTTATGCGATCCTGCGCCGTAAACAATCTGTTCATTATCAAATCGTAATGAATTATTAATGGAAGCTAGTCTCATTCGTCGTGGACTTCTACAAGATAGCCTCTCAGAATATGATCAAGTTAATTCTGTTACGGTCGATTTGGCAATTCTTAAACTACACAAACCAGTTCAACATTTACATCGATATGAATTTGTTCAACCACAATTTAATTCTCCATTATTCAAATTCAATTCTTCACCAATTAATGCCAAACTATACTTAGTTTGTTATAATGGTGAGTTAGCCGAAGATTCAGATCTAAAGCCTTATAAATATATACGCGGTTTTGCTAACATAACTACGAATCAACTCAATTTTGGTCATAATGCTAATTACAAATCAGTATCTATTGGATCTATCATCAATTTGCAAGAATTATCTCAAGAAACTACATATGTTACACATACATGCAGCACGCTACCTGGGTCCAGCGGAGGCGTTTTACTTGATGCTGATGGAAACTTTACTGGGATTCATATTGGTATTGGAAATTCTCGTCAAAGTAAAAATCAAGAAATGTTTTTTAATAATGAAACATACAATAAATATATTTCTGTTACGTCAAAATCGTTTTCTCATTTTATCAATCAATCGATTTTACCTAATATAAATGATGATGAAATAGCACAAGGTTGGCGATCAGATCAAGTAAGACACTACCATACTCTATATCGCCGTCTTGGTTTCTTCAGTTTTTTTTACGAAAATAGGACTTTATAGTGTGAACTGTTTTTGCTTCTTGTTTTTTTAGTAAAATTTAATAACAAGAAGATAATTTAATTGAAAACAAAATCATCAACAATGTACAAAAATCAACTGAATCATCTCTTGATCAAACTGTTCAAGTAAGTTTTTTCAATAACTTATCTTGAAAATGATTTAAATCTTTAGAAAAATATCGCCAATCAATCTTCTGAGATATTCTCATTGAAACCAAATCTGGAATCCATTTTGTCTTTTTCATTTGTCTTACTATGAAAAATTCCTTGCTTAAAGATGTCGTTTTTTTCCAATAATCAATTAGATTTTATTGTAAAAAATTTCACTTTGAATAAAAACAGAAATTTTTTTTGACAATGTGAATTTGTTTAACAAGTCGAAAATGATTTATTAGAGAAAAAATTTATCCAGCAAAAATTTATCATAAATTATTTTGTCTTCAACATATTTTTTTCATAAGATATCTATCTGCAATTGTCCAATTAATTGAGATTATCTTTAATAGTAGAGTTTTCATTGTTGTTGTTTAGTGAAAATAATTCTAATCTTGGAATAAATAGTTCTTCTTAATCGCAATATTGATGAGAATATTCTTTTGAATAAAGATCAAAGTAAATGAATCCCATTGAATTTCATCGGTTTTACGTCTTTAATTCATTTATCAGAAAATTTTATCAATCAATTTATCAAAATGAGATTTGAATAAGAAAATATTTCTTCATTGTTGTTTTCAATGATTTTTTTCTAACATATTTATCTCAAAATACCAAAAAATATCTATTGATCAATATTGACGAAAATGATACTTATCAGAATTGAATTCTCCTATCGATTGAACAAATGACGACGCTCAACATGGTTTTTTTCTTTTTCTTTAATAAAAACTATTATCGTATTGATAATTATGGAAATTGATTTTTGAACGAATAGAAATATAGATAATTATTTATTTTTCTTATTTTCTGTAAATAAAATTATTGTGCTGATGAATCGAAAAAACACTTTCTCCGTTTTTTAACATTCGAATTTGAGTCTTTTTCTTTGAATAAGTAATGGTAAACAATTGGTTTGCATATTTCCTACTCTATTCATTGTTCGATACGTTTGATTTGATTTTTATTGAAATGAAATATTGTTGTTCAAGTCATGACGCCTATTATAGTTGATATTCTTCGAATTGTTAGATATTATTTGAAAATCTTCTTGTACTTGAACATTTGCCAAGTTATGAAAAAAGGATAATTTCTATTGTTAAATTGAGATTTCGAATATGGAAAACCATTTGAAGAATGTCTTGAAAATAGTTCAAAGAAAAAAAGAAATTATCAATGCTGATTATTAAAACAAATTTATAAAAAGGAGAGAATCTTTTCTGTATTAGATGATAGATCTAAACTAGTTTTTAATTAATAATCTCTTCATTTAAAAATGTTTCGAATTAGATAAAAAATAGTCAATTGATTTGAATGAAATAAAACGATTTGAAATGCAATGAAATAATTTGTTCCATTTGCAAAAAGATATTCATTATTAGAATTTGACCTGTAAAACAGGTCAATTCTTCCAGATTGACCAATTTATGACAGTAGAATTTGCTTTTTCAATTTTCAATTGAGAAATTTGATGAAACTGGATATTCATATTTAATCTAAATATTTTCTCGTGTTTTTGCTGGTGGTTGAATAAAAGGATTCATTAAGTTTTCCTTCTCAAGAAAATAAATTAAATTGAATTAAAAAATATTGACATTAATTATCTGATTTAAAATGAAACGGAATTCGTTGATTGAAACGATCTGCCGATGAAATGACTAAAAATTTCATTAATATTGTTAGTTTATTCGTTATAGAAGAAATTTTCCCATTTAATCGAATTCAACAATTGATCAAATAGAAAGAATGGTATATGGTCATTGCCATTGTGAGAAGAATCAAGAATGGTCTCGTTTGGTGAATTCTTATGGCAAGCATTTCTCAATGATCACGTCTGTTTTTATTATTGACATTAAGTTAACATTTCATTTAACTTAGAACGAAGATCTAAAATTATATCCTTTTTATTTATTTTTTATGCATTAACATTCTCTCATATCTCATCACATACTGATGCTGTTTCTTAAATTTCAAAGAGATAAGTTTAACGCATGGACCGAAACAACAGAGAAAAATAAGCATAGAAGAATGTAATGGATGGCATCATGACCGAACAGACAACCCCTAACTAAATGTATATCATATGTACATCCCTGATACCTAGATCTAGATGAGGCATGTGCATTCTAGATGGCGTCAGTTTCAGATGAAAATATAAATTATTGGATCAGAAAATAGCACTTTCGAATAGATTTGAAACGAGAAAAAAAGATATTATTTTTGACTCATATAAGTTGTATATGATAAGGTTCAAATGCTTCGAGCTCGAAAACTTATTTCTGATTCGATGATAGATAGTTTCATGTTGACACATGAAAATATGCAGCACCCTATCAAGTCTAGTACTATTCGCAGTGGTGGAGCATATTTCGTCAGTTTCGAATAGTCTCACAAGAGAGGTATGTAAAACCAACAACTGGATACAGCGGATTGTTTTATTTTTCACTAAAGGTACGGTAGAAATGACTGCTACTGCTGCATCATCTCATGATTTGTCGTTGCTCAGCTGGAATACGTTGGCTCCGTGTTGGGTAATGAAAGAATGGTATCCTTCACTGTATGACTTAGCTGCCGATGATAAAACTCGATTTGAATTGATTATTGCACACATCCGCTCACTCAATCATGACATTGTAGTACTCCAAGAAGCTCAAGAAGATCAATTATGTTTATTCAAAGAAAAATTAGGTGATAATTATTTTCTCGAATTTATTTCCAATAATCCAACACCCTCCCCGAAACCCAACGGACTCCTCACTTTAATTCGTAAGAATTGTGTCTATGCATCAGAGATAAAAATAACAAGTGGAATTCTCGATTTATTGAGAGGTGATGCCATTCAAATTATTAGTATTCCTTCGAAAAATTTTCATCTATTGAATCTTCATCTTGATTATCGTTATCAAGTAGCTCAATCAAAAATGATTCAAGACAGATGCCATGCTTTACTCGGCAATCAACATCCGATTACTCTCATGACAGGTGACTTCAATGCTGAAATCGAAGATCACCATGAATTCGAATGGAATGACTATGAAAATGCCTTTCCTGAATCATCTAAACAAGCACAAATTCCAACTTATTACGCCGATCCGGCGTACATATGGCACAATACGAACATTGATCATATTTTGTACGATCCTAATCGACTTGAATTGATTGAACGTGGCAAAGCATGGGATTCACCCGATCATACACTTGAAGAGTCGTTGAAAACATTTGGAAGTGATCATATTTATATTTGGGCAACTTTCCGTTTTCGTGAAAATACAATATGATCCTAACTTATTTTATATGATCATGTCATGAATTCTAGTCTTTTTTTGAACAGTTCGAATTCAATCAGATCTCTTTCGTAAATGAAAAAAATCATGTGATTCTCATTAAACAAAATTTATAGAGGGTGTGATTGTGATTTTGAATTCTTTTTTCACCTACACTCTAGTTTCTAAACTAGAATAGATTGTAGAGATTGATAGGCTATCAAATAAATATCTGCCATGTATTTGACAAAGTGTGCTAGAATAAGAGGCCGAAGCACTGAATGTTTTCTAGTCAAAAGATTCAACGATGTTGATAAGCTAAGCTGTATTTCATCAGCGAAATCGTTGTATTTGGTTATTGAAACTCGTGAAATTAATAATAATTCGGTTTTGGTTGAACTAGAATAGCTCAATGAAAATCGAGTATACACTGTACCGGCCTATGGAAATTTTGCTCACAAAAATAAACTAACGTTAGATTATGGGCATCAACCATTCTTTTGTATCTACATAGGATTTTTTTTCATTTCGCAAAGCACGAGGTCAACCGGTGAGAACAACCAGTAGAATGATATCGTTGGCTGTTGTCAATCCGACGAGAAAATGTAGGACACGCACATACTAATGTAGTGAGTAATCTAGCGGAAGATCATTAGAGAAAATTATTATTAGTAGAATTAAGTTGATTATTTCACACTTCTTTTTTCACTTCAAAAGTATTACACACTATGAACGTGTCGTAAAAGGTAGTTTATTCGATTTGATGAATGAGACAAGAAAAAGAATGTTTCTATGAATTGTCATCAAGTGTCATGTCAAATAGATCTTCAGCTATAGAGGTTGAAACTTGAAATATTTATGTGGCAGTAGAGTTTAGAATCTAGTTACGATTGAAACTATTGATCATTCAATAAATGTTGTGAGAAAGTGATTCATAGAAATAAAATTCTGTTAGTGAGCAATATTAGATAATTTGATTCAGCATGTAGACTCAAAAAAAGCGTTTTTGTTCCCAAGATTAATTATGTCTATTTTTCCTGATTGAAGAGAGAAAAACGACAAAGATTCTGAATAGATGTTCATGTTTTAATGCTCGGGACATAGGGACATTGATTTTTTTTCTTTCTGTACTAGAAGAAAAGAAAAAGACTTTCGCTATCGTTATTTCGAAGTACGGGTCTCGAGTAGATGGGATGGGAATGAAACAGTTTTTAATTCGAATGATATGGAAGGAAAGTAAATGTTTTTTTAAAATTTTTAATGAAACTAATAAAGAAGTTTCTTATATTAGTCCATTTGATGTGTTATTATCAACAATGGTTCTTCGTTAAACAAACAAATAAGTTAATATAAAAGAAACTTCATAATTTATGGCTGACCATTGCCTGTTTCATCGTGACGAAGATCGATTATTAAAACTCGAATTAATAACGAAATGATAATAAAAAAATTAGAATTTAATAGATTCTACTAAATTTTTCAGAACGTAAAACTAAGACAAATAAATATTTATTTGGTGATGTAACATGAATATCATAATCAACGAAGTATTTTATTTCCTTTTAATATTAAAGTATCAGTTGAACAGGATACATTAATTACTATATGACGCATACAAGCGTTAGGAGACCGCATTGAGATAAATGAAAAATAAGAAATAAAATTTTTTTTGTTTGTTTTGGTCACCAATTTGAAAAAGAAATTAAAATTATGATTAATTAGAAAATACCTTGCTAAATTTAACTCGTAGACAAAGTCTCCATATGGTTCATATAACTTTATTTGCATTTTGATTTTCGAAAATCATTTTTCTTTTCTTTTCTTCGCTCTCTTTTTTGTCTATTTTCTCTATCTTTAAGTAAATCTATTATTCCCATCTCAACTAAATTCTCATGTCAACTATAACATATGTTATATCAGTACTGTATTACTGACAGACTATTGAGATAGATAAGTGCTTTACAGTCCATTCAAGGCTCTTTTTGTCTTGCACTCCCAAGTAGTCACTATAAAGTAGTACGGAACAGTTTGATGAACTTTGATAAATCTAGTTTTTCATATAGATTATTTCTTATTTATGTACGATTCCACGAATAAAGTTTATCAAAGCTTTGCTGTATCCACCGTGCATAAAAATTCTTTTCAATGGTTCCTCTTATCAAAAATCTTGAAAGTTTTCAATTTTGTTAAGTGTTTGTCTATACAATAGTACCGGTTAGCTGAAATCAAGCTAAAATCATTGAAGATCACATGAAAAACTGTCAAAGAGAAAACGAATGATAGATTAAGACGATAATAAAGTTTTTCTAATTTGTTGCTTGTCTCTCATCCATACTGTTGCTTCTTGTCGAAAACAATTTGTTATATATGTTAAGATAAACAAAAACAAAGGTTAACCTAAACAATGATGCAAAACAGACCAAGTATGTTGATACTACTCTCACAGACAGAGGACACAACAAAGAACAATACAACATAATTTAGACCATATGCATTGGAAGGACAGATGAAATCAATTCTGAAAAGACATTTAAAAAAATCAGTTGGATTGTACTCTATGGAGAAATCAATAATACAAAGTGCCTATAAAATTTGCATTGAGAATGTTATGAATATTAAAAAAAACATCTTTAGCTAATTTTCTTGGGTTTGGTGGAAAAGGCAAACATAGAAGGGGAAAATACAGAAATTGTAAATGTCGAATGAAAAAAGTAGAAAAAGGAAAACGCCGAAAATTGAGTTTTTTGATAATTTTAAAGAAAAAGAAAATTTTATTTTCTAAATTGGTGTGCACATATACGTCGCATCCATGTTCAGTGCAAGCCCAATACTTTTTTGATGAGGACGTTTTATTGCATTTGAACATATATTGGTTAAACACTAGTAATGGTTTACCTTTACTAGCCGTTAAGAATGATATTTCACTGTCCATTGCCAACGATTGAAGAGAAAATTATTTATTAGTTGTTTTCGCTAGACTGATTTATATATATGGTATACGGTAACAATGAACAAGTATAGACTATAGACGAAGAGGACAACGAATTTAACTTATCCCACTAACAACCAATAGCAACTCAAAAAACAAATTTCATTATCTACAGATATCTTTTTCATTCTGCGCTTTCCTTTTCAAAATTTTTCTACTTTTTCCTCCAGCAGTTTTTCTTCGACACTTTTATTAATTATACTTTTTCCTTGCGACGTTTTCACCTTCTGCAATTGCCAGTTTCGGCATTTTTCTTTTCTGTCTTTTCCGTCAATTTGATTTTCTTTGCCGATAAATTTTTCTCCAACGTCAGATTTCGCTAGTGAGTAGATTTTACGAATATGATTAACATTTTCATGTATTTTCTTTTGAAAAGATCACAAGTTATAAAAAAACAAAGCTCTTGTCTCGTGTAATTCTAGACAAAGTACGTCTTGAGCTGTCCTTCGTGATATCCAAATACCACATATTATTAATGATCATCATTATCAGCATTTTGAACTTCTATTGATCCTCGTCAATTCTGGCTCAGACACGACTTACTCTATTGCTTTCATAGTCTCAAATACAGAAGTATATTCTTATTTACTTATGTAAATACCTCTTTACTCAATATTAATATTAGAGATCTGAAAGTTACGATTCATTTTTTTTAATTTTTGAATCAAAATTGGTTTTCCTTTTTATACTATTGATAGGAAAGAAAAACATTTTCAAAATTCATTATTATTTCTCTCTTCTTACAGTCTTTGTTCGTGATCAAAGAAAAGTCTAGTAAAAAAAGTAAACATTATAATCTGATTATAGATTGAAACAATAATATATTTCTTGAGAAACCATCACATTCTTGTATTGTCTTACAAACAAAAAATTATAAATCCAATTTTCTTTCTTCAATATTCCTAATTAGTTGAATTTGAATAAATGAAAATTTTATTTAAATATAAAACAAACATTGTGTATTCAATGTGTAAAATACAACACCAGTCTATTTTGACAGATCAGCTTTTTTTTGTATTTTTAGATTAGAAATAAAATACAAACATAAGAAAAATTTCGATATAAAGTCAAAAAGATGTATTCGATTTCTCATGAGGGATTAGAAGAAAAGCTCAAGTGATAGACAATTCCTTATGCTCATATATATATATATATTTTTTTTTATTTACATTTGTCAATTTATTCTTTGACTGTTCACAATTGGTCATTATCACCAGTGGGTATTACGCCATTGTACTGAATTAAAAATTCATTCATTGTCTGTTTTACTTGTTGAATACAAATCTACTATCAGATAATTAAGATTTAATCAATCATTCAACATAGCTCTGCTAAAATTCAAAAAGAAATCATTGGCTAAAGTCTAGATGATGAACTAGTAATGAAAATGATCAATTGGTGGCAGCTGTAGCACACATAAAACCTCCTATATACTCTATAATAATATGATAGTAAGCAATTTTCGGATTAAACGAGCCTATTTATAAAGTAATAATGTTCGATGACGATGAATTCTCTTAAATTGTATGAAGACAAGAGGACAGCTTGACTCCTTCCGCTGAGGAAGGTCAATGTTCTTTCTCTTTCCTATTTTGTTTTTCGAGCATCATCATGATCTGCACCAATCGATATGGTCAATATTGAAATGTGACTGTATAGAGAGAAACGAGAATGTACGATGACGGTCCTTTTAGTCTTCTGGTTGAAACAAAGGCATATTCGGAATATAGATTAGATGCAAACAGTCAATAGAATAATCACGCAGTCGCACAATTTCTATCAAGCTGTTTTTGATTCCCAGAAAAAAAAAGAATTCAAAAAGAGAATGAATTTAATTTTCATCGACATCATAAATTCTTATTACCGTTTTGTTATTTATCAAGTATAATCATCAAGACTTAAACATGTCTATCTACATATCTATCTTTCTATGTATGTATGAAATTTATTGAATCAATAGAAGTATATGAGCGTGTGTGTGAATTCAAGAATTTCAATTTACCGTCTTAATAGATATATATATATATATATATATACGTATGTGTATAAACATACCATATTGGAAAAGAAAGAAAACTATTCGTCTAATTTCAAATTAAACCTTTTGAAGACAAGCGGATAGATATAGATGGAGGCGACAAAATAGATCAAACAATGTAGACAAACATTCAAATCTCAAGTCATGTCATCAAATATAAATACACTCGATCAGTCACAGTTGTCTGCACAATGTGTAGAATGAAAGCAACCTTGTTAAATTTTCATCATCATCGATTTTTCCTTTTCGTATATATTTTGTGTGAGTAATTGCTTTTATCTCTATCATTCTCTATGAATGACTATAGTGGTCAAACTATGAAGTTACTCCACCATCCTATCAAAATATTTTAAAATGATAAATGAACGACGATAAATCGGTTTTCAATGACATGCCAATGAAGCCTTCTATATGTAATCATACATATGCATGTTTTCTCTCATTTTTTTCTTCTTCTTTCTATAAAATAAATAGCTGAACATCTGCTATTCTGTTTTTGTCTTCTAACATAAAACAAATATACGCTAAAACATAATCTAGTAGTTCTTCTTTTATACTCCAATTAAGAATGGCAGCAACAGCTTTGTCATTTAGGCTATTACTAATTAGATGGTTCGACGAAAAAAAATAGGCAAAATACACGGCCAACTTGTTTTTCTGATCGTCTCGCGTCTGTAACAGTAATAGAGTAACACACGCAATATGGATTATGAGCATTGCAGCGCACAAGAAAGATAATCGGATTGTGAGTAGCAATCACGTTTGCATGCATACATACATACATACTCAATGTCACAGACTGACCTTTTCAAGACTCACAATCCAAATTCTTTATCGGGGAAATAATATTGACATCCTACAGTCAGTCGCGTCGCTGTCGGTATACTTTAAGCATAAATATTAGCTACCTGAAATAAAAAATTGATGATCCACATCGGCCGACTGTTCTTTTCAAGATATATACACACAAAACAAAAAGACAGAAGAAGAAGAAGAAATAAAAATGAGATTAACAGATCAAACATAAGAAGCGCAATGGTCCGACGTTGTACGTGATCCGTAAAGATTTTCAAAACGTTTTAGAGCTCCATCTACATTCGTATTATTTTCATTAAATCGTACATGTTTCGAAGACATTTTTGAATTTGCTGTTGAAAGTGACGATGGATTTAGTAGAAGAAGATTATTCGATTGCTCCGATGACATATCACTTGAACAATAACATCCATCATCTGAACCAGCTTTCGTATCCATAACTGTTGCTGATATTGGACTACTTGTCGACGATGATGATGTTTGTGGTAAATGTAATGATGCATCATTATTATTTGAATTATTTACATTTTCAATTAATTCCGTTTGCCGTTTAAGTGGTAAATAATAGGTATTTGGAAAGACATTCATTGCATCATAGAGAATCTAAAAATATTGTCGCAATATGTTGCCTATCTATCAGCCAAAGAAAAAAAGATTTTTCTTCTCTTACCGCTGTTCGTTCAAAATGTAAATCATCCGCTATACGTGTAAATTCTCCATTCGCCGTATGTTGTTGAAGATCATTCGATGATGTTGTGGATGATGTTGAAGAAAATGGTTTTTCATTTAATATTGAATGTGTATTATTAAAATTTGTTGATATCATTGTTGTAGTTGGTGTTAATATATGTTTTTCTTTACAGCGTTTTATTTTATATTTTATACAACATATTAGACATATAAATAATGACATAAATACAAATAAAGCAGCTAGAACACCAGCAAGTATAAGCATATTTTGAGGACTTTGTTCAGTATGTAGCCAAGATGATGGCGCAGGCGCACGATTATTTTTATGTGCCGACGATACTAATTGAATTTGTACTAATGTCGATGATGATAATGTTGGTTTACCATGATCACGCGCAACAACAATAATTTCATAACGTTCATATGTATGTGTATTTTTGATACATTCTATCATACCAGTTGTCTCATTAATATGAAATAAATCTTGATAATTAGCCAAAGAATATGTTATTCGATTATTATCCGTATTCGAGTCATCACAATCAAATGCATTTACAGTAAAACTTGTTACATTGGGTACCATTGTTGTTTGATAAACTGTTTGATTAAATTCTGGTACACAATCGTTAATATCAAGAATACGAATACGAACAAGTTTAGATACTTTCTCATAAGGTGGAATAAGATGTTGCGCATTAATTAGAAATTCATAAAAATTTTTACGCTCACGATCGAGCGTCTTTGTTGTTATTAATGAATAGGATAAACCATTTGATTGAATTTTAAAATCTGTTTCAGTCATATTCAATGACCATTCATTTGGTATTATATTTGTATAATTAATAAGATTAATAAATCCAATAAAACTTCCAGCACTTTTACCTTCAATTATTTCTACGGACGAATCAATTGATGATTGACGAAAAAATTGTGGATAACGAATATCAATTGCAATAGAATTAACAGAGGACATAAAAATTAAATAGAATATGATTATTACCATCATTATCTACAATATCGGAAGAAATACGACAATATTCATCAATGTGCTTTTGTTTCTTCTCTTTTGAACATGTATAGAATGCGAGCGATGTGTATAATATGTCCAGCGGTCTTTTCTCTCCTTCTCTCGCACTCTCTTTTTTTTTCTTCAACGAGAAATTTTCTCTTCTCTTTCGCTCTCTCTCTCTCTCTCTCTCTCTCTCCCTTTGACTTCTTATACATGATGATCATCGATCAATCTTTCTGTTGAACAAAAAAAAGTCAAACAGAGACAAAAAGAAATTTGTTCTCATTCTAAACAATATTTGTCTTATTCAAATAGAATGTTAAATATTGAAACATTCAAAAAAAAAAGTTTATACAATACAAACGAGAAAAGAATGGTCAAAGTATTTTTTTCTTCTTCTTCTGCTCTTTGTCGCTTTCTTATCAACACTTGGCTAATTCGCACGACAGAAAGATTGATGTAAGGAAACAACTTGAGACGCGACACATCCAGACATCGTGCAGATGTGTGTGCATGTGTGTGTATCTAAAGATATCATGATCTTTTAAATCATCTAAGACCTTGCTCGAGTAACTTAACGAATTAGAGATCGATCGATGGGTGGAGATATGTACGATCCTATTGTTAACGCTTCTAAATATCATCACCAGAAACACACGGGTCGATTTCGACAGTAGGCTCTTGTTAATCATTTAATTGCTTTTCTCCCATATAATAAAGCTTTAGAGAGAGAGAAAAAAAGACGCGGTAGAAGAAGAAGAAGCAAGACGGCGGCAGCTGGAACAATGAACAAGCTCATATATACACATAAGAGAGGCTTCTGAGAATGTACATACGAGTGTATGAGCATTTTATTGGGTACTTACTCATATTCGTTTCATAGAGTATATATTGTAGAGTTGATGACAACTTGAAATGATCGATATTCGATCCATCTTTCTCCTATGCAGTTTTCCTCTTATCGCGCGCATGTAATGAGCTATTCGATTGTATAGATGAGTATGAAAAAGGTCTCACGCCAGGTTATCATTCGTGAATAATTCACTCGGCAATGTGTGTAAGTGGATCGATATCATCCTGTGTGTCAACCTCATTAGACATTAACGGGTAGCAAAGAGAAAACAAACTTAACAACGAACACTCACTCGAATGATAATTCCATTTGCACGCTGAAATTCGATGAAACACATACAACCATGCATTTTCTCTTTTAGCAGCTTTCTTTTTTTCATATAGAACATGAATAAGAAACATAGAATAGAGTTATGCAATTTAATTTTCCTTGTTGTTAATGTTTTTTCTTCGGGTATAAGTGATGAGCTCATTATATTATGTTGTCACTAGAGAATTTTCTTTTTACATACATAAGTTACAAATAAGATTAGATATTCTTTCTGGGCAATCTCTGTTTTTTTTAAAAATAAAAAAAAATGATTGACTTAAGGCGTGATCTCCGCCCATAGGATCTATTTCACTTTCTTACTTTATTTGCTTCATAATTTTGTGAGATTGGTATGAGACGAAGCAAGAATAAACGAGTTTGAACAGCGATTAACATTGATGATAGTAATAATAAACTCGTTGCCTACTTTACTGATCCCATATATACACTAGAATTTAGTGCACTTGACGATTGCCTTGCAATGCTGTTAACGATGTAGAGAAAAGCAAAATGAATTGTTTACATTCGATCTCGATCAACTTGAATATGATGATGTCGGCGCCTCAAGGTCATCGAATAGATAAACCATTCTCAATTCGTCATGTTGGATGACAAACATCATCTTATGGTTTGAATGAACCTTTTTGTCCATCCCATTTCTCGTTTTCTCTTTTATTCTTTGTTTCGTACTCAATCATTCACATCCACATAGCCCCTTTCAAGTGAGTGTGAAAATGAATCAAAAAAGGAAATCCTGGATCGATCGATCGCTCTATCGTTTCATTGTATTGTCATCAATTTTTACTTGATATATATATATATATATATACTATATATGTGTGTATATTTGCTCGAAGCGACGAAATAAATTAACAAAGCACAGCTTGCGTACAAGGCGGCAAACATCAACAATAGAACAAGTTGCGAAATAGCAGAATTATTTGGACACGCGTCAATAGACTTGCTTTAGAATTTAAAAATAAAACGGGAAAGAATAAATGACCAGACGGTTCTTCTTATCGATGATCATTTCTCATGGGTACATTTTCTTTGTGTATTCACACACGTTAGATTGACAAGCTGGCTGGCTGGCTGGCTGGCATAGTCTCTTGCTTTCTTTCTTTTATTTAATTCTATTCGGGAGTTAATTGTTCTTTCAGAAGTCTAGCCACCGTCATGAGCATGACTGTATACATATTGCGATGTATGTGTGTGTGTGTTCATTGATGGTCAACACACCTTTCATTAAATGTATCGGAAGAAAGAACGGCACGTTTTCACATAACTGAATTGGTCTTGCATACTAAAATTTTGATGTGATTGTCTAGCTGTCACTAACGACGCGTTTGACTAGCAGGCTGAAGGTGTGATGTAACGATGGACGCCCGCCTGCTAAGATAATGTTGCTCGATTAGTCGAGCCCTATGTAACAATAATGAAAAAGCAAATGACATTCGAATGGTCACTTTTTCTTCTTTCTTACAATGTGTCTGGCTCGCAGCTTTCTTTCTCTTTACTATAGACGTCGATTATCTTTCAAATTTATATCCAGGAAGCGCATTGACCCGAACATGACAACACGGTGCTACTGGTTTCTTTTCTTCTTCTTTGTATTTCAATCTCATGATGATATACTACATACAGTAATCTAAGACTATTCACGTCACTGTGAATGACCAATGCATTTTATTAATCATTTTCTCTATGTAATCATTAAGATCATATGTGCGTGCTTATTCTCGCGAGTTATTCCTTTCAATACAGAATGTCATCAGGTCAAAATAGAATGGATACGATCTCACAATATGATATATATACGTGTGTTCATATCTTTCAAAATTAGTTATCAGCAAACAACATACAAGCAGTCAACCCTCACGAACATATCTCATTAGTTGCAACACGAAATAGTCGACAGGTGAAAGTCTGAAGGCCTATTATCATTATCATCGCATAATACAGAGAGAGAGAGGGAAAAAAATTTCTGCACAAAATATTCTTAAGAGACATAAGCATCTTAAGAGTCTATGGAATGAATAATACGGAAATGAAAAAAAAAAGGAAAGAAATACGCAATATATAAGAAAACTGGAAAAGGTGATGAAATGACCAGACTATCTAATTGAAAAGGCAGACAGAATGAAAAGCAATTAGGCGAAAAGAAGTTGTAGGTGTGACGTAAAAGTTGAATACGTAAAAAAATAGCTAAGAATAAGTACTTGAATTAAAAGGAACGGATTAAACTATTGCACAAGATAGATCGTAGTTTCATCTCCTCTAATCTTCCCAAGAATTGAACGTGCAAAAGAAAATTAAATGACTATGATCAAATGTTTTGATTAAAAATATAAGAGAGAGAGAGAAAGAGAAAAACAAAAAGGAAACTAAATCATAATCTTTCTATTGTATTTACGGTATACACTTAGAATAAAACAAAAATCAAATTTTTTCAGTTTGAAATATTTCTTTATTGATATAATAAAAATTCTATAATTATCAAAACATTGATTTATTTAGCATATACATGTGAATATTATTTGTGATCGAGTCAATCGCATAGTTTTTCTGTTTATATTAACTTTTTACTATGCTATACACGATATGATGACCTTCGTTCACTCTTTGCAAAAAAAATATCGACAAATTATAACTATTGACATTTTTGTTTTTGCTCATTTGTACACATTCTAAATGTCAATATAACGACTGTTTACTAAGTGCTAATAAATGATAAGTTTCTTCTTTTTTTTCTTCGTTTTGATGAACTCATCTGATATTTTACACTTATAACTAATAAAATTATGTAGATTTTCGTCCCGCCCGAATCTTCATCTAAATAGATGCACTCATTATCTTCAAACGAATAGTTCTAATTGAGACAAGAGAGGTGCTACAAGCTTGTATATATATATATATATTGATAGATACTTACAGAAAATTGGCAGAACATATTTCCGCACGTTTAAACTATATCAAAAGATAGCGACGACAACTGCGGATGGCTAAGAGAGAGAGTAATTTCCATATGGAGATTAGCTATACTGTATGAATGTCGCCTGCAAGCTGGTGTTGTAGCAATTCGTAGTGATTACGAAACTAGCGCAACCAACACATTGTGTTATTTTCTTATTAATCTATTATATATTTTGTAGTCATACAATTCACAATAGCTACTAATTACATCTATACATCGTTATCATAATAATGTACTATGAAAAACAAAGAAATGCATATGTCAATCATAGAAGGAGAAGAAATATAATTTTTTTTGAAAATGATGATCGAAAATGTCTTTCCTTTGTATTGCATAAGATTGTATATTAAACAAAAAGAAAAAGTTAACCTCGTACACGACAGGTGGTTAACGTTTTCTTTCATTTTTTTTTTTTTTTTTTTTTTTTTGTTGAAATATTTTACATTTCAAATGGATTTATTCCTTTTAAATGTATACGAAACAGCTGGATTCAAACATCATGATGATGATGTCATGTGTTATTTTTTGTCTTTTAAAGCTTCTATAAATCTGCATGTCAAACATTTTGTCAAGCTTGGCGTATCGATTAATAAAAATATGAAACATAACATTTCATAGTGTTACGATAACAATATAAGAACGTGTGTCTACCTTTCAATACATGTATCAAGTTCTATGTCTATGCAGAATATAATTGTCACTTATGATGTATATATATATGTATGATACAGACCGATTACGCTTATGAAGGCGTCTCGCCATGCTGCTCCTTGGTATATCCAACTATCAAGTTGACGAATGTAAAACAACAATAGGAACATTTGTACCTCTTCACTTTTGATAAGAGAAAAGTGCGGCATAGTACCGATCGATTTTCGATATTGATGAAATGCATCACTTGAGTATAAGTAAACTAAAAGCGTGAATATAAAATTCTGGCACTCAATCGCCATCATATCACGAATAGATATTCAATTTCTATTCTCACATTATATGCGATGATGAATAACAATACTTGTATGGCTTTCAGACTGTTCTTTACTTCGCTCAAATAACATTCTTAAGTTATTTGATGATCATCAAATAAAATTTGATGATTATAAAGAACTATAAGCGTTCGACATACTCCTCTTTGCGTTTATTTATAAATTAAACTGTACTAATAATAATAACAAAAAGAAAAATAATTTAACAATTATATAAAAACGACTGAAAAAACAGCACACAACATGATTGTAAACAATGATATTAGAATGCTTGGACTTCGAGCATAGTAAGCACAATATGGACATTGATATGAACCACATACAGAACAGATATCAAGACCGAAAAGTGTGCGCAATGTATACATAGATCGATTAGCACTCCCTATTCACGAAATAACACACACACATATATATATATATATCGTTATGCATTTAAATTTATCAAGAAGAATTCTTACAGGGTTCATGCCATTCATATGCTTTCATTTCATAGTAACGAGTCATATTAGCAACAGGTATAAAACGTTTAAGTTCAAATTGCCAACAAATTGGAGTTGTATCAAACTAGAGTGAAATATAAATATTTGTTCTATTGACAAAATAAATTTTGATGAAATTTACAAATTCAAAAATAAAATTAAGTGAATTCGGATAGTTTTCGGCATCACGAAGATTTCTTACAATACCAAAGCCAACAAGATCTTTCAGAAAACGTTCTTCTATACGATAACCAGTTGGAATTTCAATAGTAAAAATTGACCAACCCGATCGATGAGATTTAACAGGATTTGGCAACCATCTATATATATGAAAATTCTGATAAGAAAATAGTCGTTGTTTATTTTTTGTTTTTTATACATACGTTACACATGGTTCATAAATTAAATAACTAAAATTATATTTTTGTGATAGATGAACATTTAATGATAGATCAAATCCTTGATATGGAATCGGACGAATCAATTCAGGATATTCAACATTAGCTGTAACTATCATCTAAATATTTAATGAATTTTCTTTTTCATAGGAAATTTCTACATTCGAATATTGAATATACACAAACTAGATTTTTGTTTCTATTTCTATTTACTACGTAAAATAATCGAACTTTATCTTACTTGTACAAGTGAATATCCTACGCCATAAGCATCAATAAATACTCTTCCATGAACGGGATCCAATGAATATTTTTCTAGATCAATAATATTCTCATTATTAATTGATATAGGTCCACTGTTTCGCGATGAACTAGTCGATGATGATATATTAACGCGTATGTTATATGCTTGTATCGTATTACCGTGTCGAATTGCATAATTAACAAGTGATCTTAAAGCAAAAAATGAATCGTAACTTGAACACCAACCTGCAACAAAATTTCGACGTGCGTGTAACCAAGTTACTATTGGCTTTCCTAATAATATTTGTGCACGAAAGATATAGGTTAGCAAAGCAAATGATGTTGACGCAATTGCATGTGCTTCTAATTCAGATTCTTCTTTTGGCAATAAATGTTCAGTTACAGTTCCATGACCAATTCTATTCGATGGTAAATCAATATTTGACCAATAAATACCATCCGCATCTGAAATTAATAACAAAAATACTTCAATAATTTCGAATATAAAAATGATTATTTTACTTGTTCGTTGCGCTTTAAGTAAAAGATTAAAAGCATTGTCTTTTTCTGGACTATTAGATATATGCAATGCATACGTTGTAATTGCTAATTCAAAAGAATCGACAATGATCTAAGATTAATATTTTAATTTCGAGTAGAAAGAAAAAAGTGAAAAAAGAAACAACAGATTTTCATACATGATAATGTTGTTCGAGCCACTTTCGACCACGATCAATAGCATCGGTCATGTCTTCTTTTATTAATCCATTGATATCTGTATTCATTTTTAATGCAATTACTGCTTGAGCTGTTAATGATAAATTCAGGGGTAAATTTGTATCATTCGAATGTAATAGAGACTGAATTAAGAGAACAGATAAATAAAATTCGATATTTATCATTTGAATAATTTTTACTTGAAATTTTTCTCGGTCAAGGATATGACTATGTTCACGCCATGAACCTTCATTGCCTTGATGTGTTATAATCCATTTCGATGATTTCGCACGTACACGTGGATCTATAAAAAGGTCATATTGTTCCCATTCAGCTTGTGTCGCATCTTTCAATGCGATTAATACCCATGATGTTAACCTTAAACAATTGAATTAATATACACAAGAATTCACACATCGTCTATTTATGACTCTTATTTACCATACACTAGTTTCATTTTTCCAACCGAAATTACTAAATGCACCATCGTGTACACCAGCATCGGATCCATCATCAAAATAGAATGCCATTAAACGATTATATTCTAATAAATAATTAATTATTGATTCTATATAGAAGAAATAATAATGGCAATTACCTATATTAACCTTTCCAAGTAATTGAGAGAGTTTATCTTGATCAAATCCTCCTGCACCATGGCCTTGTCGTAAATAAATGATATCATAGACCATAGACGCAAAACCAATTAATGCGCCTTCAGCAGCTGCAACTGTTTTAAAAATAAGATTATCTGATGTAAGTTCTTTATCTTGACCTTCCCAAAAATAGGGTCCAGCAACATCACCTATGATAGAAAATAATGAATTGCTAAGGAAAGAAAATATGTTTTACTTTTGTTTACCTGAGATATAAATAGTCGCTTTAGGTGAACCAGGTATATATAGAAAATAATTTCGTAATGGTAATATAAAATTTTCTGGTACAATAATATCGAATTCAATCATTTGCCGAGGTGTATATTCAAGTGAAAATAGAGTTGATGTTGAATATTGGTTTGTAATACCTTCATACTTCATACGAAGAGAAAAATATTTCAGTTTACTTTCAAAAATAATAAATCCTACCACAACTTCGATTTCTTTTGGTACTATATGTCGTTTGATTCCTGTAATACCTTCAATAGTAACATCAAATTTCCCAGTATTTATTGGTACAATTGGAATATAGATACGTCTTGAGCTACTTGCAGGTATCTGAAAATGTTAGAAAATTTCGTGAGAATTTATCAAGTTAAAGAAACAACTTTTTTCTATCTTACAATAAGAAGTAAATGATGTTGTCCATCTGATGTTCGTGGTGCAAACGCAGATACTTGTCCATCTTGATCAATATTAATAAAACGATAATTTGGTGAAGCATGTAAAATAATCAATGCCTGAAAAATGAATAAGAAGAAAATGATACTCGATCATTCGTTTGTTGTTCAATTCGAAAAAATAATCGATTTAGAACCTCAATACGATGTGCTTGAAAATTGAATACATCAACACGAACACCTATTTGTTCGCCGAGTCGAGGTCTGCTTGGAATTTCAACAACAATAAAAAATTGTCTTGTACCTTCAAACTAAAATAAATTATTGGCTTTTAAATAATCAATTTTCTCGTGAAGAAAGAAACTATAGCAATGCCACTCTACCATAACAACACTGGGCAAAACTGAAAGACCATTTTGTTGACTAATTGAAAATGCTGAAACAATCCAAGTGCCAATGTCAGTAGGAACATCGACACGTATCTGAGCTCGTCCATCTGGATAGGATATAGTAGATTCCCAAGCAAATGAAAGTGTAAAAAATCGGTCCCAATATGGCCAAAGACGTTTATTTATTGGTGTAAATGATGGTCCAGGCTTTTCAGGACCTATTGCGAACAAGAAAAATTATTTCTATTTTTACTATTTTTAATACAAACAATCAAGTTCGTCAGCTCCATCTAAACAATGAAAAATGCCATCACATTTTTCACTTATTGTATAACATGATCCATCATTGCATGTTAATCGATTTCCTGTATCCATACAGAATTTTTCTTCTTCTTCTTCATCAATAACTGTTTCAATATCAGTTAATAGAAAAATACCAGCTGAACGAAATGCACGATAGACATTAGCTGCAATCGATTGCCCAACACGATAAACTTTTTCGGATGGTGTTAAAAAGTTCGAATACCATGTAATATTTGGACTTGGATGAGCAGCTATATCATATTCATACAATTCATTATAAATCTATTAAATTATTAAACAACAAGTAATATTCGATGAACAATAAAATTTATAATTGAATTATATACTTACGAAAATATTGAAACTTTCGATTGTTAATTTAGTTAGAAATTCAATTTTAAATCAAATTTTAAAAAGAAAGATATATTTTTCTCCTGCAATCTCAGCTTACAACTCAAGATCAGGCTCAACAGCAAACAATCTTGTTTGTGTCTAAGAATAAATTTTACTATGCTAAAGTTTAATTACGTACATCCATTTCAAGGAAATCATTTCCACCATATAATTGATATTGAGCATATTCTGTTCCAGCAAATGCAACTTGTGCTTGTGGTGGACCATAAGCAAGCAGTTCGACTGTATCGCCAGTTAGATCTTTTCTTTGATTTATTGTTAAATTAAGTACAACTGTATCCGATGTAATGTTCACATGAAAATGAATAACATCAGCAACAAGTTCACCTGTAACATCGACAAAATAGGCAAGAATATGTGCCGATGGAGCCATACGACGTGTTACAGCAACGTAAACTGTTTGTTGGCGTGAATCACGCATTTGAATTGTATCTGTATAAACGATACGGCTTGCTGATATGATCTTATAGAAAAACATCAAAAACTAGATTCTAGAAATTTTTGAAGTTCAGAAATATTTTACATGATAATGAACTTGTGGACAATGTCGACTGACATTAACTGTAAAAATCATAAAATTATCGATCTAAAAAAAATGATTACATAGAAATATTTCTATTCGAAAAATAAATCGAATTCGATCATACGCGAGGCTCTAGTGTACTTGTCGTAATTTGAATATAGGTTTGACTTCTTGATCGATAACGAACAGAACGTTGTTCGATGAATGCTGTTTGAATAAATTCATTATTAACAAATAATTCAGCCTGTCGAGAGACAAAAAAAAAGAAAGATAATCTAAGTTTGTAGAAGAAAAAGAATAAAACACAATAGACTTTACTCGAATAGACATATACATTGTTTGATTTTGATTTGGAATAACAAATTCGTGTTTAATAATAGAATCGTCAGGTATTTGATAATCAATTGATGCAAGTGATACACCAGTATCAAAATTGGTTTGTACACGTACATAAGTTGTACTACGATCAAAATCAGCAATTCGAAAACGACTTTGATCACCATTCAGTACGGCAATCTTCAATAGAAATCAACAGTATTAAAACGAATTATTATTCAGTAACTACAATAGACTACATTAGCTGTATAGGCCATTTGAGGTTTAAATACACCTGATTGTCTATTAAGAAATTTAATTCGATATTCTGTTTTATAAAATGACGTAAGAAACGATGAATTTGTTGTTTCATTCCATATTGGATGATATACGGTTGCTGTAAATATTAATTCACGATTTGTTAAGTCACCAAATTCACGTGTCGCATCTGCCATTGGTATGACAAAGTCTGAACGACCATCAAACTAATTTTAAAAAAATGTATATTTCTTTTTTTAAATCGTCTATCATCACTTACTCGCTTATATTCATAATCAAGTTTAGGTCCGGGTGCATCCGGTACTGGAATAATATTGACTGCCGGTTCAAAACTTTCATCTAGATTTTTCAATCGTACTGTTAATCGTACAAAACCTTGAACACCACGTCCTGTTGTATAGCTAAATCGTCAAACATAGAATAATGAAGTTTTTATACAGAGTTGAAGAAAATCTTGAGAAAAAAATTCAAAGAAATCTAAGTCGTGTTTCTATTCTAAGCAGTAATAGAAAAAGTTCGATTAACATCTACTTCAGAATGTTTTTCTTTGATTCATTCTTTTCTAATTAAAATTTAACATACTTTGCAGTAATAATGCCATTGATAGTTGGCGATTCAATATTAATAAAAAATGGTAATGATACATTGACTTCAATTTTTTTCTGTACTATAAAGAAAAGCGAAAAAACAACATTTATCAAATAAAAATTGAAAAAGAAAAGATTATTCTTACAAAAAAAATCAACTAAAAACGTTTTTTCACTCGCTGATTGTTGAGCTTCACAACGGATTGAATAGGTTCCAAAGGCAATAAATGAAGCAAATTTATAGGATAATTCCACATATCCTTAAAAAATATAAATTATTTTAAAATTATTTTTGTAGAAAACAAATAATAACCCCATTTTGTTTGCAAATTAACCCAACGTCTTAAAATATTATTCATTGGACCCTAGAACAACAATAATACGAGAAATCTCTACAGATTTATTTCATATAACTTTTAACTTACTATAATATAAACATTAACGGTACTAAAATAACCACGTAAATCTGAATAAACTGGAATGCATCGAAAATGAACTATAAATAAACAGAATTATGATCAATGATGATATTTTTCTTCGATTTTCAAATCTTTTATTTTCACCTTCTTGATCATGTTTATACATGGGTTTATCTAATTGAATAAAAATTGAAAGAGATTTTGCATGAAAAATCACATTTGTTTCATTATAGAATACAACATCACCATCCGGTAATGTTCCTCGAACATATATTGTATAAGAGCCATTCGGGGCATTCTGCGGTACTTGAAATATAATTGCTGTTGGAATTCTCGGTATTAGACGTTCTTCATTTGATGCTATTTCATCATTTTGATTGAATAATGAAACGACAACATTTGTTATTGCCCATTGTTCATTTAAGATTGTCACCCAAACAGACACAATATCCGAAGGTCTTACTAGTTTAGGACCAACAATCATATAATTCCTTAATAGAAGAGCGATTAATAGAATGATTTCTATTAAAATTTACATACGATTCAGTTTTACGATGAGCATTTGCTGCAAGTATTCGTCGTGATTCATATAAATATGATGGTGGTTGAACGCCATCAGCAAACGGAGATTGTCGACGTACGCGATAAGTTTCATTGAAATTAGTCGAGACTACACAAATATTTAAGCATAGTAAAAGAAATTTAAGCATCTAAATGTGAGAAGAAAAAAAATATAAACTATTAATACGATTAGTACTAATATTTTTAGTTGACTCTCTTTAGTTGATTATATATGTATATTTATTTATTTATAGCATTAGTAGTATTACCAGTGACCTAACTATGCTGAGAGACAATCGAGCACAAAAGAATCATATATACAATTGTATAAAATCTCTTATCTCAATGGCCATTCTATGGCGCATACAAGAGAAAAAAAGAATGTGTATTATTTGGATTGATTTATGTTTTGAAAAGAGATAAAACGCTTTCTTTATATGATCTCTACAACTTCATGTCAGTTTAGAATAAAAATCAATGAGCGTAAGTCATCAGAAAATTTTATTGTTGCTTATTCTTTCTCTGACAGCAAAGACACAAGGAATAAAAATCGAAGTTTTGTGTTTATGATTAGGTTTTTAAATCAAATCAAATAAACTTTATGATTCGTCAACCTACGTTGTCTAAAAGTTTGAGAAAGAAAAAACATCTAGCTACGAATTCTCCGATGAGATTGTTTCAAAAGAAAAGAAAAATGATTGCATATCTATGGTGACTTTTCGTTAATAAGCTATTTAATTTTCAAGTAAATAATCATTATGAATTTATTTTATCTATATCTGTAACAAAAGTGCACAAATATATGTTTGTGTTAAACGAGAGAGTGAGAGTGCACAAGGATTAGAAACATTGTCAAGAATGATGAACAACATATCACGTACAGTACAATACTGTCTATTAGAAGAAAGGTACAAGAATCAATTTGTTATTTCGTTTTGTTACTCATTTAGGATAATTTATTGTTCGTAAATCAGAATTGTTTCTAATAAGCAAACAGAAAACGATTATCCGACATGGCAAAACAGAATAAATTAAAGCCAGATGTACAGATATCTATAGATGCCTTCATCGTATCTTATTCAGCAATTATTTGTTTGTCCCTGATTCAATGATGATATCCGGTGTAGAATCACGTCTTATGTATGAGTGACTTTACAATCATGCTTACATAATAATGATGTATTGAAGAATATTGAAAATAAGGAAGTTTTTAATAGGCCTTTCACTGTTAGGTAATGTCCATTGTCATAAGATTAATTGAAATGCAGATAAATACATGAGATAATGGTTTGGGAATGCAATTAGATTTATTCTTTTTTTGTGTACTCAAAAAAAAAACGAGAGTACACTATAGAATCGGTCAGTGTGTCCGTCCGGTTGTTTACACGATAACTCTTGAAAGGCTGATCAGATTGTCATGAAATGTTGTACACAACATTATCTCATCAATATCTCGGTCGAGTTCGAAGATGAAAATAATTCGTCGAGGATTTACTGAGTTACAGCAAGAAATATCATTATTTTCTATGCAAATATTGACCTATTCCAATTTTTGCAAATCAAAATCTATGTCATGGTAAAAATGAAAACTCAACTATTATATACCATTCGATAGAGAATTTCATGGACTACAAAATGATGCTAAATTATAGGGGTAAACATGTTGCATGTGAAATTTCCTAAATGCGTCAGTGTAAAAAAACTACGAAAAATTCACGTATACCGACATTTTGTCTGTATAATGTGTTTATTTTCCGTACAACTAACGTTATTTTTATGGAGTAGATAGAACTTGTCAAGAGCTCTAAATGATGATATATTATAGAGGAGTTTTCATTTTTACCATGNCCTGCTGGCTACTTTGGTCCTGGCGGGCGTCAGGGCAAGACAAAAATCAAAATCTCATCCTGTCCTCCAGGACAGGGCAGGACAGGACACCAGGACACCAGGACCGCCCTGTCCTGTGCGCGTCTCTGATTCCTTCCTTCACATATATATGGGTGTGGGTGTGGCTGTATTTTTAACTCACCCACACCCACACCCCACACCCGTTTACACGATAACTCTTGAAAGGCTGATCAGATTGTCATGAAATTTTGTACACAGCATTATCTCATCAATATCTCGGTCGAGTTCGAAGATGAAAATAATTCGTCGAAGATTTACTGAGTTACAGCAAGAAATATCATTGTTTTCTATGCAAATGTTGACCTATTCCAATTTTCGCAAATCAAAATTTTTGTCATAGTAAAAATGAAAACTCAACTATTATACACCATTCGATAGAGAATTTCATGGGCTACAAATGATGCTAAATTATAGGGGTAAACATGCTGCATGTGAAATCTCCTCAATACTTCAGTGTCAAAAAACTATGAAAAATTCACGTATACCGACATTTTGTCTGTATAATGTGTTTATTTCCTATAGAACTAACGTTGTTTTTATGAAGTAGATAGAACTTGTCAAGAGCTCTAAATGATGATATATTATAGAGGTAAATATGGTGCATTTGACGTTTCCTCAATATTGCACTTCCCAAAAACTATGAAAAACTGATGCATACTGACACTGCTGGTCGATTCTTTCAGACAGTTTGATCAAAATCAATCTGTCGGCAATCATATTTCATTTTGTGTACTCAAAAAACAAAAGTGAGTACACTCTAGATTCGGTCAGTGTGTCCTGCCGTTAACACGATAACTCTTGAAAGCCTCATCCAATTGTCATGAAATTTTGTACACAGAATGATCTCATCAATATCTCAGTCAAGTTCGAAGATGAGAAGGATGCATCAAGAAATGATTGAGTTATCGAAAAAATTGTCATTATTGACCAAACTATCCCGGAAGGGGGTACAGGGATTTTTTCAAAAAGCTTTTTTCTCATAATTATTCAAAACATATATAAATTGACTCATTTTTTTCTACAGTACACGTAACAATCGGATGCGAATCCGATGTTTCCTCATTTATTTTCAGTAGATGCCATTTCTTTGGCATGAGAAATATGTCTCCTTTCAGATGCAATGGTGAACCTTCTTTTTTCAATTGAACACCAGAGAAATCTCAAAGAAACTTCATTGTAATCTTTATGAAAAGCATCATCTGCTATCTCTTTTATTGGCATAAAATATAAGAACAGACAAGACTTTGTTCAATATAATATTCGCGTTCAAATGAAAGAAAGAGAAAATACACAGAATATTTTGAGGTATATGAAGGACTTGAAATTTTTAGCGCATGCTTTCGATCGCGGCTTCAATACATATTGAAAATTTCATGTGATTTGATTTTGTTCGACCTAAGATCAACTTCTTAGGAAGTCGAGCCTGGATTAATTTTGACGTTAGTAGATCACAGATGTACTCAATATGGATAATAGTAATCATAGGACAAAGTTAATCTTCCATATAGTCGTATGACATATACTATTCTCTATGTATAACAGGAGATTTCTTTGTTTATCTGTAGTGTGGTTCTCGGAGTAATGCACGATAAACAGAGGAAGAACATGAGAAAAAAGAGAAGGGGAGAGAGGAAGATAATAGCTATCCAAAACTTCAGTACACGTAGAATATCATCATTTGTCGTATACTGTCATAACATGAGAGTACCAATAGTTTTACTGATTATTTTTCCTCGATATGTATTTGGCATTGTAAATATTATCATAGGTATTCAACAGCCATGCACATCGATGGTCGATTGCCTTTCATCTAATAATTCAAATACTGTTTGTTATCAAGGTTACTGCGGTTCATGTCGTAATTCAAGTCAATCATGTTCAAGTTCAACGCATTGCTGCGGTGCATCTCGTTGCTTACGTCATCGATGTACTGCACTTTATAAAACTGGACAAGCATGTCGTCTTAGTCGGCAGTGTTTGAATATAAATGATTTTTGTATAAATCGAACATGTATACGATGTATTCCACTTTGGTCAACTTGTTCAACAGAGCCTCTAGCCACACCTTGTTGTGTAGGCGATGCTGTATGCCGATCTGGTATTTGTCAGCCGGCGAGTACTAATTCGCAAGTTTGTTTAACTACATTCGATTGCGCTAACGAGCTTGTCTGTCTCGCTGGTACATGTCAAAATCCTTTAGGATATTGTTAAAAGAAAACAACACGCAAAATACTACGCATTATTTTTTCGAGTGTATTTTTATTTTTATTTAATTAACGTTAAAAAGTAAAGAATACATATAAAATTATGCAGATAGCATTTATATTTTATGAGTATTGTACAAATGTAATAATATCTAGTTGATGACAAAGTTGGTTTTTTTTTGTTACTAAGGTAATTGAAAAGCTTCGACAATATGATTAAGAAAAAGAAAAAAAAAATATATATATATATATATATATATATACATTTGTATAATTGTCACTTTCAAAATTCTGTAACAGTGTTCGACTTTAACTAAAAATTAATAGTACCTTGTACTTTGTATTATAATTAATAAAATTTCCTATACGAATATATTCTTTATTTTTCTTACAATGATCTCATTCAAACAAGCAAACTTATAAAAAGTATTTGTATAGATCGCTAGAAGTAATGTTCAATACAACATCTGTTAACAACATAGAAAACAAATTATTGTTGGCCATTGAAGAATGATATCGCGTGATATGTACGCAATATGTGTAGGCATATCGTAACTCAATATGTCTGCTTCTGTTATTGCCAGATTTTGTTTTTCTTGACTCATTAGATGGGATTCTTCTTCTTCTTCTTTGCGAAGTCCAGCGAAAACATTTTCTAACAGATAATTAATCTTTGTTCTTCCTTGTACGCCTATATCGATGACTTGCATGTGTTTCTGCCCTCGTTTGTACGATATGTATTTTTTCAGTTCAAACAATATACAAAGCCAATATACTGTTGATGGCTATGAAATTTAACATCTACGTATTTTCTTATTTTTTATGCAGGATCTCATAGAGTTAACAATAGTTTCGGTCGTATGAACTTCATTTCTACACGAAGAGAACTAAGAATGATTTGTTGTGATGAATTACATATTTATCACAAATTGTTGAATTGATTTAAAAAAAACAACGGACTGGATAATAGCGATTAACCAGTACCAATACAATATGAACGCCATGAGTAAAAAAAATATTCAGAAAAATGTATTATTCTTTGCAAGAAGCGGTATCAAATAGTTTGTTTAGTTTTTTATTCAATAAGAAAAATAGAAATAGAGCATAGATTACATGAATCTTGTTTCATGACCTTCAGCAGTAATAAAAACATCTCAGGTGACCATATCCTCTTCCACTATTTTCATTTTATGACAAAAACAGAATTATCATCTCGGGTTTCGCTCTTTCATACCGTTTCTTGTACTGTTCTCGTCGACTTGAACTGAAAAGAATGCATGCTAGAACCATCATCAATGTAGATACATTTTTTTTCATTGAAGCATTATGTATTTTTCGTCGATGATTATTAAATGCACTTCCTACTGAACCTCAACTGTTACTATTGATTTTGTTATGTCATACGAATAAGATTGACCACTTATCGTTTGAAAGGTTATAAAAAGTGGTGTCATATATCAATCGAGTTACTCAATGATCCAAAAATCTGTTTTTAAGAAGCTATAATCTATCAAGTTGATGTCCACTCGATTCTTATCGTGCACACCAGGCAAAGTCAATGTTAAAGTTAAATCAATACAGTAATTATAATTAATTTTGCATAGCTACTAATAAGATTGATCTTTTATCCATAGAGATATCAGTAATTTCCAATGAGCAGGAAACGTTGAAAATTTATTTTTATTAAATTTTCGAAATCGAAGAGTTTCGCTCTGTAAGACTCTAATATACATTTAGTAAAATCTTTCTATAGTGATCATCCTTAGGATTTTTCAGAAGTGTCCACTATGGGAGGTTCTACTGTACAATTTTTTTTGTAGGCACAATGTGATTATCTTCATGAGTTGTTTGTTATTTTTTTTTTCGTCAACATTAGACGACACATGTTCGGCATCATTCCATCTTTATGTTACATAAAATTATAAAACCAAAATGATTGCTATATTTAAAGATGGCGACAGAAACGAAATGCTTTTCGTTCAAAAATTAAATTATTATACATATTCAGTCAAAAAGAACTATGCCATTCGATTGAAAGGAAAAAATTTGAACTTGTCTGCCTCTCAATGATTGATAAGAAGTTGTAGGAAAATAGTACAGTATAGTTAAAGTGTGTATGTGTATTGATGAAAGCGTGAGTCATATAGGTTTCAAAATATACCAATAATGATGACGCATGCATATAGATACAACTGTGGCGACATCCATTTGTATAAATAATAATCGAAGGAAGAATTTGTACGTTCACAATGTCTGATTTCCAACAACACATACCCGCGTGCATTGAATCATCGAATACGAAATTTCACTCATTAGTCGTTTTTTTTCTTCTTTCAGATACAGTGCACATATATACATAATTCCTTACTTCTAAACAGATTTCAGTAATTTTTTAAAACAATGTTTGCCTTTGTACAACGTGTTCTCGATTGGTTTAAAAGCTTATTTTGGAAAGAAGAGATGGAATTAACTCTCGTTGGTTTACAAAATTCTGGAAAAACAACGTTTGTTAATTTAATAGCTTCGGGTCAATATTCTGAAGATATGATACCAACTGTAGGCTTTACGATGAGAAAAATTACGAAAGGAAACGTCATCATCAAAGTAAATAAATTAAGAATTTTTTTCAAGATATTTTAATTCAGGAATCATTTTTCTATTTACCAGATTTGGGATATTGGTATGCATTTAAGTTAAATGAATTTGATTTCAAATTAAAAATTTGTTTTTTCTATAGGTGGCCAACCTCGTTTTCGTGGTATGTGGGAACGCTATTGCCGTGGTGTGAATGCTATTGTGTATGTATATTGAATGACTCTTCGTTATATTAATTCTGTTTTTTTTTTTTGTTGAATTAGATTTATGGTTGATGCAGCTGATCATGAAAAACTCGATGCAGCAAAACAAGAATTTAGTAATTTACTTGAAAAACCTCAACTTCAAGGTATTCCCGTTCTTGTACTTGGCAATAAACGTGATTCACCCAACGCACTTGAAGTGCAAGACCTTATTCAAAGATTGTAAGTTGCTAATGAATATCTGCAAAATGAATCATATTTATTTTTTTATATAGAGATCTTTCTCCAATAAAAGACCGTGAAATTTGTTGCTATTCGATATCATGTAAAGAAAAAGAAAATATTGGTGAGTCACAAAAAATTATTGTAAAAAAAGAATATCTTCTTACGTATTTAGATATTACACTTCAATGGCTTATTCAACATTCGAAAGCAAATAGTCGTTCATAAATATTCACAGTCAATAATTTAAAAATAAAACTTTATTTTCAACGATAAGAATTATCTATTTATTTTTCTTGTCTTGCTGCCATAAATTTAAAAATTCATTTCTATTTTGTATAAAAACAAAAAATGAACCGTGCGCTGATGACCTGCATTTGCATCTTTTTTTCTGTTGTCACTGTTGTCTGTATTGTTATTTTCGACTATTCATTGATATATTTTATCCTTAGATTCTAATTGATTACGAGGAAAAACTAATGAGAGAATTACATATATATCAATATAAATATAAATATAAATACAAATAGAATTGTTTTAATTCATTGTTTTCTATTTAAGATGAGTACTCAACAAAATCAAAATGGTAATAAAAAAAGCGACGAGAATAAAGATAAGGCAGCAACTGGAAAAGATGATGCAGCAGCGAAAGATAAAAAGTTAGATATAACAAGTTTAGAAGAAGATGATGAATTTGAAGAATTTCCAGTTGAAGAATGGTCCCACGACGATTTGGACAGTGAAGATAAACGTCTATGGGAAGAACATTGGGATGATGATGTGGCTGAAACACCATTAGTTGAACAACTTAAACAAGAACTCAATAAACAAGGTTTACTCAAAACACCAACGACAACGGCTAAATAATTTTTATGATCTAGGACTATTCATTTGGTTGTTGACTGTTTTCTTTTTCTTATTAAGTAAAAAGACCAATAAAACAAACTTCTTTTATTTCACAGTTAATCTGATGGATTTTTTAAACAAATCAAGAGAAGTCAAATCTTTCCTTCTTCTTCTAGATCGTGGATTTCGTTTTATTTTCGAATAGAATTCGTATGAATCGCTATGTATCTATCTAAAATAATCTCATACTTAATTTTTCTGTAATATTGCTAGATCTATACTATCAAAACATCTAACTGCTGAATTGAACAGTTAAGTTAATGCTTAGCTTTATTAATCTAGATTTAACTTAAAGAAAAAGCTAAAATTATGGATACATTAATATTCTATAGCATGTATACAATGTTAGTACAAATCTTACAGGCGTGGCTTGTACATATATATATATATATATATATAGAGAGAGAGAGAGAGATATACAATTGTAAGGATTTACAGAGTCTCTTATTACGATTATTTATTATAAAGCATTTATCTCAATGATAGACAAGTCATTTGACAAAGCTATAAAAATGATGTATTAGCTTTAAATTGAACTTTGCCATAATCCATTAGCTCATCAATTTTCCTACTACTTTTATTGATTTAATAACTTCTCATGTCGATCAATACGGTTACCGGAAACAAGCTACTTCAATGGTTTTTAGGAATACTCAGTACAGCAATAAGTTTTACTCTTATCTACGTTCTATGAATATTCCGAAAACAAAGGACTCATTAAATTGGTTCCTTCAAACTGTACTGGTCTCTGCAATTGATTATCTTATTTTGTACGCAAACGAAGGCTTGGTCAAATGTTTTATCCTTTCTTTACGACGATATGATGTTCTTCTATAGATAAATACATTTTTGTTTGTCTTTTTGTTTCAGATAAATATGACCATTCGTTTTAACGTTCTAACCGGTTGTGAAAGTGGTATTGTAAAAGGTATTGATACATCAAATTGTGGTGTATATGTAATTCATAAACCGGTTGCAACATATGCTGATGCTGTGAGTCTTCTTGAATGGTCATTAGCAAATAATGAAACTGATTATATGGAGGTAAAAAGAATTAATCTAGATATATAATTTGTTTTCTAACCATCTGATATGTTTATTAGGCATTTATTGCCACACAAAAAAATCAAATAATGCGTTTAAAATTTGCTGATGAATCCATAGAATCAATAGGTACAATTACTCGTGCGAGTCCACTCAAAGGTCTAGCTTATCTTGGTGAAAACAGGTGAGCATGGTCATATCATCGGTTGTCTTGTTCTTCTTCTCCTCCATATTCTCCTGTTAGAATAACTACTTCAGTGATCTTTGCATAATGACTCGCGTGTTTCGTCACTGTAAACCACTCTCAAGAAGTCTTCTGATGCTTGAGAAAATGCTCATCTTTTCTTTGTTAGTTATAATATTTTACGAAAAACATAGGTAACCCTTTAATTTGAGTCCATGTAAATCTTTCTGTTACTTGAACTCTAAAATAAAATAAATTTTGTTTTTGGTAATCAGTTAAATAACATAATGCATACTATCAATGAGCATTGCTCTTATTTTACTTCAAGTACATTTTGATAACGAATGACATTATTTTACGGGATCACACCATTAAAGATATATCTACTAGAGAAAGTCTTTTGTCAAGGATAAAAATCTGCCGACACTTTTAAAATGATATTCTAGACTGTTACTTTTTATTTCGTTTAGATTTGTGACATGCTCTGAAAATGGTGTTCTATCTATTGATCGCATTGAAAATGAATCTCTTGTATCTGAAGTTAGTTCGAAGTTTTAACTTGATGTTGCAATGATTCATTTGCTTTTATTTGTTTATAGATTGAAGCAAATGCTGGTCCAGACATATGTCGACTACGTATTAATCCATTTAATCGAGACTATTTTGGCACGGGTGGTAAAGAAAATGACTTAAAAATATGGTCAATAACAGAACTAATGAAAAATGAAAAAACAAAAAATAAATCAGTTATTTTTCAAGCGAAAAATGTAAGAAATCATTGTTTTTATAGATAGTTTTCTTCTAGAATTAAATCTAATTTATTTATTGTTAGGTACGACCAAATGCTTTTCGACTTCGAATGCCAGTTTGGGTAACAGATTTTCAATTCATTGATGAACGAAATCGATGTCTTGTATCCACCGGTCATCATCAAGTTAGATTGTTGTTTTTTTTTTAAATTTAAAAACATAAAATTCCCATTTGACTTTTATTTTTACAGATCCGCCTTTACGATCCGCAAACAAGTGCACGTCGACCTGTGCATGAAATCGAATTTGAACAATATCCAATTATGTCTATTGCATTACTTCATTCCTCTAATAACCAGTTAGTATAATTGGTGGTGAACTTAATGAAAATGCTATATTCATATTTTTCTTCTTAGACATTTTCTTGCCGGTAATACTCAAGGTGAAATGGCACAATTTGATATTAAACGTTTATCATCATCAGCTATGGTACATAAATATAATGGCGTTATGGGTAGCATACGTTCGATAGATACACATCCAACATTACCATTAATAGCATCAGCTTCTATTGATCAATATATTCGTATTCATAATGCAGAAACATATCGACAAGTATCCAAGGTAAATTATTTGTCAAATCGTTTTTTTCTAAACGATGATGATTGATTTATTTTTAGTTTTATCTAAAATCTCGTCTTACGTCTGTGCTGTTTTCGCCACATTCAATAGCAAATCGAGAAGAACAACAAGAAAAAACTGTTGAAACAAATACTGAAGAAATTGAAAACGATGAAGTCTGGTCACAATTCAAACGAAAATTACCGAAAGAATCATCCGAAAAGTTCGTATCTATTTTAACTATAAATCAAGGAGAAACAAGCTGAATTCAAATGTTGTTAGATAATAGTTTTAGTAGAAAGATCACTTGGTTTCTTCTTGATGTTGATATGAAGATTTTAATGATTCATCTTTCTTTTAGATCTTCATCGAAATCGTATCCGAAGAGAAAAAAGAAAAGCAACTTTTGAATGAATCAATAAAAATGAAATAAATAAAAAGCGATGTTAAACTTGTTTTGTATTCTTTTTCTTATTTGAAGATAAAAGATGTTTTCGTTATTCAAAAAATTTCCTTTTGTTTCTAATCGTTTTCCTACACAATTCGCTTGTTCATCTACATTTTCACATATTACGTCTGATGGAACAATTGCCATGGTTGATATAGGTAGTAAAGTGAACAGTCAACGACGAGCAATCGTTGAAGCTACTGTTAAATTTCCTGATTCGCATACATATCAATCTTATTTTAATGTAACAACAAAGAAAGGTGATGCAAGATTATGTTCTAAAATAGCTGGAATTCTTGCTGCTAAAGTTAGTTAGTTTACTTGGTTTTATATTCAGACTAGAATATCGCTAAGAAAAAAATTCAATTTTTATAGCGTACCTCAGATTTGATACCACTTTGTCACCAACTTCCACTTTCTCATATTGATATTGAATATGAACATCGACATGACCTAAACGAAGTTCTCGTTCGTTGTATTTGTTCAACAAATTATCAAACGGGTGTCGAAATGGAAGCAATGGTCGGCGCTACAATAGCTGCTATAACTATTTATGATATGTAAGTATTGAAGAACGCTGACAAAAGAAAATAATAAATCATTCGTTCATTATTTTATTTGTTTTAGGTGTAAAGCTTTAAGTAAATCCATTGAAATTCGCAATATTCGTCTTGTTGAAAAATCAGGCGGAAAATCATCGTCCATTCCGTCGAATTAAATCGGCAGTTAATTTTGTTTTTTCTTCTAGATTATTTAAACATGTCTAGTGATACTGATTGTCGTTCAGTAACATGTCAAGCTTCTCCGAATATTGCACTAATAAAATATTGGGGTAAACGAAACGAGGAATTAATTTTACCCGATAATGATTCTCTCAGTATTACACTTGATACAAATGATATGCATTCCTATACAACAGTTTCGACATCATCATCTATGACATGTGATACATTTTATTTTGATGGTGTTCAGCAAACAAAACTTGCTTCACGAATGCAAAAAGTTCTTAATGAAATTCGTCGTAGAACAAAAGATGATAAAATAAAATTTGTTGAAATTCGGTCTCATAACACATTTCCGGCATCAAGTGGTCTGGCTTCAAGTGCATCAGCATATGCAAGTTTAGCTATAGCTTTAACAAATCTATTCAACCTTGATGATTCGCAATCAACAGCTGCCTATTTAGCACGTATTGGCAGTGGCTCAGCTGTACGAAGTATTCATGGTGGTTTTGTTCGATGGTCAAGTGAAGGCGAATGTCTTTCGTCATGTGTTTTTCCGGCTGAGCATTGGTCAGAACTTCGAATTGTCATTTTAATATTTAATTCAAGTAAGAAAGCAGTTTCATCGACTGACGCTATGCAACGTACAAGACAAACATCAACATTATTTCAAGCACGTCTTTCGACAATAAATGAAAAAATGACTCAGCTAATAGAAGCAATTAAAAATAAAGATTTCAATACGTTTGCAAAAATTGTTATGATGGATAGTAGTCAATTTCATGCTGTATGCATGGATACGTACCCACCGGTTATCTATCTCAATGAACAATCGAAACATTTAATTCATCTTGTTCATGCTTATAATCAAATGGACGGAGATCAAACAACGAAAGTTACTTATACATTTGATGCTGGACCGAATCCATTTTGTTTCATTCGACAAGAACATGTTGATGAATTTTTGAGACTATTAAAATATTTTTATCCAACAGTGAATACTGATGTTGATAAACAAGTATCGTCGGATGCTGACGAAAAATTTTCGTCCATTACTTTACCGATTACGCCAAATGTTCTGGAACGAATTGTTCTAACAAAAATTGGTAGTGGTCCGAAAATAATTTCTTGATTTTGTTTTTTCTAATTAGAACAATTGCTATGTTTTAGTTTTGATTAAGTGATAGTTTCAGACTGTTACTTTTACACGCATATTTATATCTGTTAATTTTTGTTGCTTTTAGATATTGTCTTTCATCTATATTATGATACTAAATAATCCTTCACTTCTTATGTATATATCATTATTATTTTTATCAGCTGTTAATTCATTAAGTTTCAGAGTAAATTTTACTGTTTTATTTATTGATAACTTGAATTTCTGTGCTTGAAATAGATATCGAACTATCGTTTATCATGGGCGAATTGTGGACCTGTTAGCGATCCAGCTCAATTGAAAAGTCTAACTATTAATCCCGATCCAATTAGAGTACCAGGTAAGATTATACATACTACAGCTGCAGTAGTTGGCAGAAGTTCTTCTCGCAGGTAACAAACATGCTTGATCGTGAGAATTCAAACGAAGATATTTCAACATTAATAGAAATGTTCAAGACTGTCTACAATCGACAAAATTTGATGTCTGACGCGATTCTAGTTTCATGAAGTTATCTAAAATTATCCTAAAGGATAAGAATTGAGAATTATATGAAACTTCTCTGGAATAATGAGACCGTTGCTATGATTTCCTATCAAAAAAGATTGAAATTTCGTATCTACGGTACTATCATAAAAATAGTTATTTTTCTTTTGAATATATTTCATTTACGCCACCAATGTATTGTTTCAAACAGAAACCAACCAATAGGCAGACTTTTGATAAATATTAAATTAAAATTTATTAGATTCATTCCATTTTTGTTTTTCTTACAGGAAACATCACCGTTACTGGCTCAGTTGGTATAGCTTCTCAAATTCCAACAGATGTTCATGTATTTTTCTTGTTTTTTGCTAATTTATTTTTCTAATATCTCTTCTTTTTCTAGGCATCAGTTTATCTACAACGTAAAGTGGGACCATTTTTTGTGAAAGTCCCTTGTGTTGAAAATTTTGGTTCATGCACCTATGATAATGTTTGCGATTTATGGGCTACATACTGTCCAAAGTATGCTTCGAAATATGGTTTACCATGTGAATGTCCAATTCCAGCGAATACATATTCTGTATCAAATGCAGATGTACTTATAGATAAACATGTACCACCAGAATTATTAGGTGAATATCGGGCAACAGTTGATATTACTTCAAGTGAAGGCCATCTGGCCTGTGTTGATATTGATTTGACAATCAAACGTTAATGAAACCACTGCTCAAGAATTACGTTTCATTCCAGCTTTTATGAGACAATTGATTTCTTCAAATTTTCTTCTAACTATTCTATTCAGTAGTAAAACAAACGATCTTCTGTTCAATATTTATTTTATTAAATAATTAAAAGAGAAAAAAAAACAAAATGACATATAATTATTGAGTTGACGTTCGAATCATTTTATCTTCAAATATTGCTAAAAGAAACATTATAGTAATACCAAATAGAAAACCAATATTAACAACAAGAAAACGTTTCAGTTTAACTTCTCCATCGGCCAATAATGTTGGTAACTAAAACGAAAAATAATAAAAATCATACTGTTCTATTGAAATAAACTTTTACCAAATCAGCTAATGCAATGTATAGAAACATGCCAATAGTTGCTGAAAATATCCATTGACGCGCACTTTCATTATCTGACATAATCGAACCAATTAGAAATCCAATAATAGCAGTTGTTGCTGAAAGAAAATTCCATAATAATGCTCGAGAATGTGAAAATCCAGATTGAAGTAAAACCGCATAGTCTCCTGCATAAACAAAAATTGTTAAAAATTCTCGAAAAACTATTCAATCTATTGCTTATTTACCAAGTTCATGCGGTAATTCATGGCAGGCAACAGCAATCGTTGTTGTAACACCTAACACCAAATCTTCACTAAATGCGGCACCAATAGCAAGACCATCAGCAAAATTATGTATACTATCACCAAACAACACCATCCAACCAGTAGATTTAATTGCTAGAGAAAAACAACACAACAGATTATTATCATTTCAATAATTTATTCGTTTTAATTTACTTTTTAGTTGTTGTATAATTGGATGAATCGAATCTATTTGATTGCTAAACTGTGAAGTAAACATCTTCTCTGTTGTTAGAGATACTTGTTCAGATTGATCATTTGATGGTTTGTCTTTTGAATTACTGTCGATAAATTGATTTGTCATAATGTTGGGTTCGTTTGAAGGAGTACATGGTGGACTATTATTATTATTATTATTATTATTATTGTTAAAGAAACTTTTTGCATTGGAATATATTGACGGCGAATTTAAATGTTGATGCAAATTATGATGCGTATGATTATGATGAAGATGACTATGTTCTATATCAGCATCGATGTCAACTAGTGCATAATGGCAATGTTCATTATTTGTATTTGGATGACCATGTGAATGTGAATGTGAATGAGGCGAATCCTATAGAAATTCACTTTTTGCAAAATTAAAACTATTCACAACATGAAATCTTACATTATCATGTTTATAATGAGCAAACCAATGAAGAAATACTTCTAATAAATAAAATATGTAGAGAGCTAAAGGAAAACAATAAACACAAAATGTTAAACATTTAAGATCATAGTCGCCGTTTTGAATACATACTAAGCACAGCCAATAAAATTTTCAGTTGATAACTTGGAATCGAAAACGTTAACTGATTATGATCATGGTCATTATGATTATGACGATCAAATATCTAGTTAAAAAAATCAAATAGATACAGAATATCAAATAAAAAGATGCTTTAATGACTTACGAATGGTATTAGATGGAACATTGCGTCTCCTAATAGTGTTCCAGTAGCAATAGCAGTAAATAAATTTAGTACATATTTGAAAGATACTTTATAAAGAATTGGAAGAGCTAAGACGCCAACTAGTGACAAAGCAGATACAATAAATACAGCAATGAGACCATAGGCGTATCCTAAAATCAACAAGTATTTTGAAAGTTCAGTTGAATAGTGCAGAAAAAAATTTCTTTGACCTACGTTGAAAAAGACTCGGTGTTTTACGCTTGATTATTTTATGAAGGTGATGATTATCGTGTGATTTTCCTGGGAGTTTCTTGATAATATTTTCATGAGATTTTTCTGTTAATTCAGATTCATTGAAAGATTTTGAAACCGCCGTTATAATTGTACCATTTGTTGAATGAAGCGCATAATTAGTATCCGATGAAGAATACTATTAATATCCATGAATGAAACAATTCACTACATGTTTAGATTGTACAAATAAAACTTACAGATGCATTATTATTGCTGACAACAGATAACAACAGTATAAAAGCACAACGAATAACAAACAACAAATGCATATCTTGAAGAAAGAAAGAAAAAAACTTTTTTGGATAATACTATGTATGTGTATATTGATACATAGGTGTTATATATGGCTGATGTAAATTCCCCATGACATTCGAAAAAATACATCAATTATAGAATTTCGTTTTTTCACTTTGCCTACATACTTTGAATACAAATGAATAAACTCATCAATGAATCTTCGGGGATATTCCAACGATTTCTTTTTTTTTTGTATTGCATCCAGACATTCTTTTTCTTGCTTAGTATTGATAATAAATATCTTAAAGAAAAAACTCACATTCTTCGCGGAAATAAAAAGATTAAAACTAGATAATGGATATAAACAAATTGTTTCTTATTATCGTCATACGTGCCTCTTATTAAACACTTGCATACATACACATTCCTTATAGGATTCATTTTTATTCTGCACTTATTCAAGGAGTTGAATTATGCAAACAAAAAAAAACACGAAAGTACTGATAAAATTTGTATACATGTGTACTGAAGGTTATTTATTCGCGAGCAATATATTTATGAAAAAAATTCTACAAAAATTTTTCATAAATAAACGAAACCATTTGGTTTTGATGTTCGTTTGTTGCTAGAATAAATTAGACTAATATAAATAATTTGGCACTATCAAGCATACGTTGTAACATGTTACATGAATGATTCGATAGTATGCTTCCTTTCCTGTAGCATTCTTTTCTATGATTATCGAGTCTCTTTTCAAGTACACAAATAAAAGATATTTAATTGAAAAAAGTCAAGAATATTATTCTTTTTAACCTGGCAGATATTTGATAAATTTAGCAAAGTAAGAAAACACAATAACTAGCGCGGAACTACGAAAGAGAGAGAGTCATTGAAATAAGTCAATTGTTATTAGGATCATTGCTCAATTTGACAGAACACATGAAAAACTTATGATCCTAATTCAATCAGTTTATCTTCGAATATTGCCAATAAAAACATAATTGCAATGCCAATTAAAAAGCCAATATTTACACATATGAAACGTCTGCATTTAAAATTCGTATCAGTCAATAATGTTGGTAACTAAAGTGAGAAGAAATTCTTCAATATAATTAAAATCATTAGCCAAAACTTACAAGATCGACCAATGCTATATAAAGAAACATGCCAATCGTCACAGCAAATATCCATTGGCGAACACTTTCGCTTGTTGATACAGCTGCACCAACAAAGAAACCAACGAAAGCTGTTGTTGCCGAGATAAAATTCCAAAATAATGCTCGCCAATGAGAAAAACCCGATTTAATTAATACAGCATAATCTCCTATATAATATTTGAAGACAAACAAACATTTTATTAGAAAAAAAATCTTTTATTAAGACTTTTTCTCTCGCGACAAGCAGGTTTAATTCATGTGAAATGAATTACCTTATTAAGTATTCACGTGAAGTCGTCTCTCCGAATAAGAAAAATCTACTGATTGCACGTTTTAATCAAAACAACGAAATATTCGATCTCGATGTTTATAGAATCAACGATTTCGAAATATCCTGTAGAAGAATATAAATAAAATTTGTTTTGCTCAAATATTTATAATAGTACGTTCTCCGCCGATGATTTTCATCTAATCACAAAATACTCACCAAATTCATGAGGTAATTCATGACAACCAATTGCAAAAGTTGTTGTAAGACCTAACATAAGACTTTCACTGAAAGCAGCACCCATAGCTAAACCATCGGCAAAATTGTGAATACCGTCACCGAGAATTATCATCCAACCAGTAACTCTTGTGACTAATACAAATGAAACAACAACAACAAATTATAAAATCGAAGATAAAAAAAAACATACCTTTGGAGCCAATGTCTTGTTCTATTTTTTTACCGCTGGACTTATTTTTTTCTTTTGATTCTTGGTGCATATGACTATGATGAACACAATTTTTAGTAGCACATGCCAATGTGGGATCTCGTTCATTATAGTTATGATGATGAACATGATTATGTGAATGATGATCATGTGCTAAATTTTCATCAATATTTACTGTTGTGTGATCCGTCATTTGATCACCTTTTGTCTTCTCGTTAACTTGGATTGTATGACTATGAGCATGAGAATGTGAATGAACAGAATTCTAGATATTAAAAAAAAATTAAAATAATCAATTTAATCAAATAAAAGCACTTACGCCACCATTGCGAAAATGACTTATCCAATGAAGTAGCACTTCCAGTAAAAAGAAGGCATAGAGAACTAAAACCAATAGAAAGATTAAATTTATATTTTTATTATTTGTTACACACCCATCACAGCAGTGAGCATTCTCCATTGATAAATAGAAACAAGACTTGATGAACCCTCTGTGCTACCATGAGCATGTCCGGATGCTCCTGAATGGCTATGGAGACCGAGTGCCTATAACAAAATAGAATCTCTTCTCGTTTTTTTATTCGAAAATGTCTTGAGAGCATTAGAGACGCATACATATGGAATCAAATGAAACATCGTATCGCCAAAGAGTGTTCCAACAGCTAACGCTGTAAATGTTGTAAGTATATATTGAAAAGCTATTCGGTAAATAAAAGGAAATACTAATAGACCACCAAGTGATAGAACAGATATAACGAGTACAGCAAGAAATCCAAAACCAAAGCCTAAAAAGAAATGTATTGATCGTTTTGTTCATATAGTTTTGCATAAAACATACGCTGAGCAGGAGACGGTGGCTGGTTTGTCATGGTATCTTCTGGACAAACTGGTTTTACGAGAGTATCTTTCAAAAAATGTGCTTGACACACGTCTAATAAATCTTCCACAGTAAACGTTTTCGAAACAATTGTTAGAATTGATTCAGCTGCAGTAGCAGCTTGAGTTGTACTATTTGTATCATTTGTTTCACTTGTAGTACTTGTATCGGTTGTGTTATTAATGATACAAAATGCATATGTAGTTTCGTGTGAAATACACTAGTAATATTATCAAACAGTCTATATGTATGCAGATTAGAAAATTATAAACTTACTGATGCATCTTCTTCTGCGCCCGATGGAGCAACAGATAGTATAGTCAACAATATCAAATTAAGAAGCATTGAAGTTCTCATAGCTGAAAGAATAAATTTAGACGATTAATTGTACTCATCCTAGCCGTGACTAAGTTTCACTTAGTACAAATGATTTAACACAGCAGATGAATTGTAACAAATTGCTTTGGTTCATATTAAAAATTTTCAGCTGTCTTTACTAGGCGCGATTGAAAACTTGTAATTTTCCGGTCAACTGTTCGATCCAAAAAAAATTTCTTCTAAGTCAAAAAAAAACATCCTAGTTGAGGTGTTTGGCCAAACGTGCCCATATATATTTTAAAAGAGTCATTCATTTTCGTATGTGAGCTAGTATTGATGCTCGATGTCGATATTTCAACTTTCATTTGAAGTAGAAAATAAAACATTATCCTTCGATGTGATTTTTATTTTAAAAAACGTTTGACAGGCGAAGAAGAATGGATGAGTCATCTAAATGCACTCCGATTTAACATGACGAAATTAGTGAGTTTGGATATTTTTCGTATGAACGTGTAACCACTGTAAAGGAACTCTTGGCAATATCGTTTAAAAACTAATGAGACAATCTATTATTAGAAAGACTTCCAATTTTGAATTTACAACCGAGTTTTTTGTGCCGTTGCACTGATAAATGACCTATAAAAGTGCTTAAAATCATCTCTGCTTAAGATACATTCGAACAAGTATCATATACGAAGGATAAGATCCGCTTAACAACCATTCTAAAGAAGCCAAATTTCTAGATAAAACGCTCATGTCAACAAGTTTTTCTCGTTTAACTGTAAACTAATCGAGAGTGAAAAATCTATCCAGATATAATTCAATGACATTACCGAGTACGGAAGCACAAATATGTAAATTAACAGGTATCTATTCGATTAAAAAAGTGGCGTGTTTTACTTCTGCTGAGTCATGTGTTCGATATGACAGCAGTGAAAGATTAAAAGCATGTTTTGCTATTAAATTTGAAAGGAAAAAACCAAGGAATACGTATTTCACATAAAGTACACTTCTAAACAAAACGATCTATTTTGGCTACGAAAAAGAACCTCTATAGCGTTACAGATAGTTAGTGAAATTTCTCTCATTTCAATGTTAGAGTACAATTATTTGAACTAATATTTCCCTTAAAATGTGTTAAAGAACACGTCAAGTTGCTTCAATCAGATAGAAGTTAAGCTGAACAGAAATGCGCGATCGAGATATTAAGAAATGATACAGCGAGTTGTTTTTCTTTTTCGCACTCATTATGATAATTTCATCTTTAACTTTATACAAAAAACACTCTCATCGATCTTATCATTAGTTCAAATAATTTAAAACTTTAGGCACACCTATCGAATGATCATATCCATTTACTCGATACATTGTGTCGTCGATCGGTAATGCGTTTTTGCATATCTTTTCTATACAATATGTGCAAATAGTACAAATAATATTTTATTAAAGTTGATACTGTTCCCTGGATAAATCAAATATAATCTTTCAATAAACTACGCGCAGAATAATGCCAGTATCAAGAATTTTTCTATTCTTTTTTAAACTATATTTCTAATACAAAAGTAAAAATAATAGTGCTCAAGGTTTTATTTCGTTCATAGCATTCTAACAGTTCTTAATCAACAAAACAATTAGTGTTAGCACTAACCTGTACGTGTTAAACGAAGCGAATATAGTGAAAGGCAAAAAAATAGAAAAACAACCGCTATACATACTGAGAGCCAAGACACAGAGAGAGAGAGAGAGAGAGAGAGAGAGAGTCAAAGGCAGAAGATGTATAAAAGCTTCAAAAACCGAGAAAATGATCAGAAAATAGTCAGAGAGAGAGAGAAACAGAGAGGAGATGAGAGAGAGAGAAACAGAGAGCAGATGAGAGAGAGAGAGAGAGAGAATAAGAGAAGCAGTAAGTTATTCGGTGTGTCGATAGGGGAGAGAATAGGTGAGAGAGGGCGACAGACGAGAGCGCACGAGAAGAAAAATGCGCGAAAGTTGAGGCCAAAGGAAAGAGAGAGAAAGAGAGACGAGTGTAGGCAGAGTCAGTCTTGTCCGTATCTGTTTTTTTTTCGAGTACTTATTATTTTTCATCACGGATCAATGACCAATAAATTATAAAGCATATCTACTGCATATATTGTCCGTTTTTTTCACCTATAGATATAAAATTTCTTCAACAGAGAATGTCATACAATGTAAAACAATAAAAATCTATAAAAGAAAAAATTAAACACGTCAAAATATTTCAAAAAAAAACATTAATAAAATATTTATACATGATGAAGTAGCGTATCAAGACTCCATTCATAATCGTTGTTCATCAACGGGTCACATAAATAAGAGTAAAACACATCGGCTACATATCAAGAGGAAATAAAAATTGGTCAAAAAGAAAAAGCACATATCATCAATAGATTTCTTTTCTTTTTTTTTATACATACAAAGCTAATTGCTCTTGCCTACATACTATACCTTATTGATTTATTAAGAAATAATTCGTCCCAGCATAATTAATATATTCTAAATTTAATTTGATTTGATTAATTTCAATGTTAGAATATTGATCTTTGCTAAATCTTACGAGATTAAGCAAAATGCATTTTTTCGTTTTAAAAACTATATAATTTATTGCCTACTTTATATTGTAAAAAAAAAGTTATTATAATAGTGAAAATCAATACGGCAAGTATTGACTTACTTTTTTTTATATTCTTTCAACTTACAAGCTCAAAGCAAGTAATATTACATACATATATATATATATATATATATCGAGTCACGATTATGTCCATTTGAATTTAGTGGTATTGATTATATCTATAGTGTTCATTATGAATCGATTGCACAATTATATGTACTTTGTTGTGTTCTCTTTACATCAGATAATTAGATAGGAATTCTCAGTTATGCTGTAATATCATACATTTATTTAGTTGGTTTAGATGTCAAAATTTCTATTCATAAAACGACTCGAACGTCCTTTTTGATAACGTACTGTCATTTGAGGACAATAGATGATAAAAATGAAATTTACCTAAATTATGATTTTTTAACATAATCTTTTTTTCTTCCTTTCTGCAACAACGAGATAGTATCTAGCGGTCGAATATATATTAACTGCAGATAAGAATTTATTTAAAAACGGTAAGTTTATTGTATAGTGGTAAAAATTCAGTTAAGCGAAATGCTTTTCTTTTCATTCATTCTTTTTCTTTTCATTATGCTTAATTTTCTCGTTATCAGTAAGGATGGTTGTTTTTATCTTTTGTAAAGATATGAAAATCTTTGCTTATAAAAAGAGCATAATTTTACTGTCTTCGGTTAGATTAAAGTCTCTCGTATTTAGACCATGGCATTTCGCATTTATTTGCATTGTATATACATTACAATACTTTTCCTATCCATAAGTAACATCAATGGATTTGAAGAAGTTGCAAGATCCAACTTAGTATGTGTGTTTTGTTTAGTTTTTTAATTTTTTACCTTAATCTTTCAATAGCTTAAGAAACTTAAAAATTTGGGCTTTTCATGGGCAAACTGTGGCCCAAATACTGATCCAATTCAATTGAAATCTCTTTCTGTTGCTCCTGATCCAATAGTCATACCAGGTATAATCATTGATTTCTTTAAGATGCACAATTTTTTATGCATACTCATATTTATTTTAAGGAAATGTAACTTTCAGCATAGGCGTTGGTGTTACGTCTGCATTACCTACAGATATTTCTGTATGTACACCACTTGTGTAAAATTAGGCATATGTTTTGTTTGATTTTTAGATATCAGTGAATATGGAAAAAAAAGTTGCAGGCTTATATATTAAAATACCATGCATCGATAACATAGGTTCATGTAATTATGGTAATCTTTGTGAAGCATGGGCTGAAGTATGTCCTAAATATTTTTCAAAATTTGGTCTTCCATGTACTTGTCCAATTCCTGCTGGTGCCTATTCAATACCTACTACAGTTGAATATATAAAAGGCAGTTTACCACCGGAAATCTTGGGAGATTTTCGAATAAGCGGTGATCTTCGTTCAAGTTCTGATCATCTTGGTTGTATTCAAGTCATGGTTTCTCTTAAGTAATAATTTTTAAAATTCATTTTTTTCCTGTGTTTATATACAAAAATTAATTACATTAATATAAAGAAGAGATTTATTTTTTTTCTTAAACTGTACAATAAATATATATGAAAACCATTGAGCAAAATATATGATATATATCAATGTGATGATCGAATTAGACTATCTTCAAATAATGCTAATAAAAACATAATCACAATACCAACTATCATTCCAATATTCACAAGAATAAAACATTTTAAGTCATTTTGACTATCAGCTACTAAAGTTGGTAACTAAAATTAAAATAAAAGTTAGTGGGTACAATTTTTCTTCATTAAAACATACAAGATCAACAAGTGAAATATAGATAAACATGCCGATAGTAATTGAAAATATCCATTGGCGAATATGATCATTACTTGATAGTGTAACACCAATCAAACATCCAATAAAAGCAGTTGTTGCAGTAACACAATTCAAAAAAATGGCTCGAGAATGTGAAAATCCTGATCGTATTAAAATAGCATAATCACCTAATTAAGAAAAAGAGATAGTTCATTAAAATTGTACTTCAAAAAACGAAACATTTTAGTTTCGCACCAAATTCATGCGGTAATTCATGCAAGCCAATAGTAAATGTTGTTGTTATACCTAAAATAAAGTCTTGACTAAATGCTGCGCCTATGGCAAGACCATCAGCAAAATTATGTATAGTATCACCAACTAATACCAACCAACCAATTGTAGTAGTCTCTAAAATAAATAAAAGCAAGCACACATTAAACTCAATAAATTTCGCCGAAATAAATCAGCCTCGTTTTTACCTATTGATTTTTCAATACATGCGTCGGTATTCTTCGATTCACTGCTATCATTGAACTCGTGTATAACAACGGCAGGTACTGGTTTATATCGATTCGTTTTCGATGAATATTTTTTAAAACCATGAGAAACTATTGAACTTTTCGGCAAGTTATCATGTAACTGAACACATGAGGCACATGCATTCGGGTTGCTCTTATTAGTTTCGTTGAGTTGATTTGCAATTGATTTTCTATTGAGTTCATCTGGTATGTTTTGATGAGAACTATGATGCATCTGTGTATGCAAACGATGGCTGTTCTCCAATTTGGTGTCAATTTTAATTGCTGTAACCTCCAAATTTTCTTCATTTCCTAGTAATTGTTTAGGATTAATCAGTGATGTATGACTATGAGAAACTATATCCTAAAAGAAAATATTCGATAAATCTCAAAATTATATATTTTAAAAACATACAACAGGTTTATATTGCGAATGCGAACAACAATGAAGAAAAGTTTCCAATAAATAAAAACTATAAAAAACTATAAGAGATGAATTATTAGACCTACTATTCATAAGTAATATAGAGTCTGGTATCCTAATTCTGCCGGGAAAAAAGTGGCTCTCAGCGTTTCATTCACAAGCGCAGATACCTTCTCTTTTGAATGGAATGCTGAGAGTCATTTTTTCTCCCGCCGGCAGAATTAGGACACCAGACTCTACATACTCGATACGCTTAATAACATTTTCCATGTATAATCAGGTATGGAAACGATACTATGTGTTTGTTCATCATGTCTACTATGATTATGAACACCAAGTGCCTATTTATAATTAATACAAAAATTTCTCTGCGTATAAAGAATTTTTTACATTAAAATATACAGACGAAAGGAATTAAATGAAACATTGTATCACCAAACAGCGTCCCGATAGCCAGCGCAGTAAATAGGTTAACAACATATTTAAACGATAAACTATATAGAAGAGGAAGAGCGAGTAGACCAAGAACCGATAAAATTGATATGATAAACACGGCTAAAAATGCATAGCCATAACCTGAAATAAAAATAAGTTCAAAGAAAAAACGAAAACACAATTTTAGAGTAGACCTACGTTCAGCTGTGGTCAATAGTTTACGTCGAGTAGAATCAATTGAAAAGCTAGGACAAGATTTATCAAGAATTTTTTCAATAAAATGTTTATCACATTCAGTAATAAATTCGTTTCCGAAAACTGATTTTGATTCAAATACTAGATTTGTATCAGTAGAAGAACAGATTGAGTAGGAAATATTGGATAATAAACACTAAAAAATCTTGTAAAATAAAATCTTTTCTTCTTTAAATCATATAGATTATTTACCGATTCAGATCGATTAATCGTAATATACAATGTCAATTGAAATAAACAAGGCAATAAATTGAAGGAAAAAATCAAACGATCAACTGATAGAAACTGCATATCTAGAAAAAAAACAAAAATACTTTGAGTTCCATTGGACTACTTTATAGCTATAGAAACCATTTATTTTTAACTAAGTGTTCATATCGGATTCAACCAAGAGGCATACTTTTATAATCCAATATGCTTCCGTTCACGAGTAATACCATAAGTATGTAGACAAACAATTAAAACAGCAGCATTATATATTGAAAACTCACATCAATCTACGATTTTATCCGACGTACAAGTAGCTGTATATATATATATATATAATTTTAAATCCTAGAATAACAAATGATACTTAATAATAAGATAAAATCATCTGATTCACATCGAGTATAAATCACGTAATAAGAAAAAAGAAGTAAAAAAAACAAATTTGCATGTGTTATCACCAGAGAAAAACAAAAAAAACAGCCGAGACTTTATTGATCATATGTAAAAATAGAAACTAAAAACGCAAAAGGAAACCTTCAAAATAAAATAATCACTTTAAACAACACATATTCAACAGTAACAGAAAAAATCGAGTGCGAGACGACGAAAGAAAACATTCTTCTATAGAATTTACGCATCACGATCCTTTAAAAGAAATACTCTCTAAAAGCAGAGCAAACCTACTTATTCAACCATATTTAATATATTATTCACATTGCAATTCATGATGAAGTATTAATATAAAAGTTTTGGTTTATCATTTGAAAATCAATAGGACATGTTTCATAGAAATAAAAATACCAATAATCTTGTGACACACTAGTTGATCTCAATTTGAAAGATTCCCATGCCTTCATTTGTTTCTGCAACATATTTGAAATGTCATTGACAAGAGACTTGCTACTTTTTTTTTTAGAAAGCATCATTTTCTTCGATCTAATCCTTCCGACTTCTGTATATTGTAAAGAGTTCTGAACATTATTCATATATCACACAATGTTGAGCAATATCTCTGCATATTTTATCAAAAGAAAGCATTCTTTATGGTTCAACATATTTTAATAAACGAAACAGAAAATATTTGTTGAGTTGAGCATCGTTCGAATATTGTACATTGTTATTTTATTCTGTAAAACTTCAAAAAATGTGCTCACATCCTTTCAACATAAAATACAGAGAAAGAAAAATTTTTCGGGTTTGCTGTTTTCAAATTTTTTCTCTTCAACTTAACAGATATCTATATGTTTGTCTCATAAGATGGATGACGTATCAGATTCTTGTTATAAATAAGTGTTCGCTTCTTTGTTCTACGCTATTCACGGTCAGGCACGTATTCACGCTCCGTCTATATCCACATATACGTACCATCCTACGTCAAAATGCCATTACCAAATCTGTATATTCTGAGTCCTATATCTTTCTCATCATTTCCAGCCGTATTATCACTCAGCAGAAGAAGAATAACAACAACAGAACTAAGCACTAGTTACGCCATAGAATGTCTGGCTCTGAGGTTTGATTTAATAAAACCAAAAATAATACGGTAAGGGCTCTTAATATGCAGTTTTCAACTTTTACTACAAACAGAAAAATCTTAATTAATTAGCATCATTATCCATAAAAATTTCTCTTTCATATTTACTGTTAGAATTAACTACTTATGTCATAATATTTTATGTTTTCTTTACCAGATAGAGTTATTAACACTAATGTCATCCTTTTTTTCATCATACTGTCATAAAATGATGTTTATCTGCAGCTGTTTCCTTTTCTTCTTATAATATAGACAATTAACTATTGTTTGCATTTTATTAAAACTTCATGATTCTCCTATATTGATTAATTGATATGGTTCACCCTTTGTTTGCTCTTGGCATTAATCGTTTGAAAACATAATGCAATAAATTGCTCGTCCGTTTGTTCTTCTAGTTATATAACTAATTCATTGAATTTAAACAAAATAGGATTTGAAAGATTACTTTTCGTTCATGCATCCGTTACACTGCAATCGAAAATGATTTCATTAACTAAATATGATCTACAGCAAATTCATTTTCACGTGCATTACAAGTATTAGGTTTCACATTATTGTTTAAATGTCCTGTATATTTATATACTCTTCTGTATATTTATATACTCTTTCATATTCTTCTTATCCTATCCGTTCGTAACAATCAACTGAATATGCATAAGCGAAGAGCGCACGCGGATGCCACTCATATGCGCCCTGTATATCTGTACATTATGAATCACCATTGGTCGATAGAGGCCTGATCATTTCAATGCACGATTACTAAAGCAGCATAGTGAGAAGGACGATATAACAAGAAAGAGTTGAATTCAAAACGTGCACTCTCCCTGTACCCGTATAGAACACCTCTTTTCTCTCCGAGTATATAGTTCGAATGACAATACACAGAATGAGTCGCCGGTCACTTGATCCTGTTCTCCTCGTGATTTCTTTTTATATTAAAAAAAAGATTGGTTGATATGTGCATGTGTATACACACATATATAATAAACATGTTTTTCTCCCTGTAGAGAGAGAGAGAGAGAGGAATGAATGATGACCACATGGCAGACACGGCGCCGTCTATCTTTTCTGTGTACATAGAGTGAGAAAGGAAGGAGAAGAGGACGATAAAAAAATTCACTGCTGACCTATCTCAACCATCAACTAACTCTTTCTTCCTATGTTGGCTTACTCTATTCGTTCATTGTTCCATCTCTTTTTTGCCATAGTCGTTCTTTGTCTTTCATTATTTTATAAAATCTGACTATTTTTTTTGAATGAATATAATTCCTTAAAATTGATTAATTAAGCGTTTTGGTATTTTTTAGATGTCACTCTATTTAATTACCGAGGCATTTCGTAAACTCGGTTCACCAGATATAAAAAATGACGATTTCTATGATCGATTAAGTCGCAAATACTCATTTATATTACTTGGTGTATCATTTTTAATTATTAGTACATCAACATTTGTTGGTCAACCGATTAATTGTTATACACAAAATATTCCAAGCAGTTATGTTAGCTATATTAATTCGGTTTGTTGGATTGAATCCTCATATTATCTACCAATGGATCAACCTTTACCAACACGTAATGAAAAAGATCCATTTAAAATGTATTTTAGAAAAAATATTATTGATTAATACAAATTAATTTTGTTTTATCTTTTAGTCTTTATTATCAATGGATTCCATTTATATTGTTGACTATGATGTTTTTCTTCTATATACCTGGTTTTCTTTGGCGAAATCTTAATAAATCATGTGGTATTAATACAAAAATGATTACAAAAATGGTTTCTGATTTGGATCAATTGGATAGTGAAAAAAGAGAAAAAGCTATACGAACCTTAGCAAAACATATAGACAGAGCATTAGCTTATCATCGAGATTACGATCATGGACTTATGTACGTTGTATTATTTTTCGAACGATGAAATCTATCTATTTATTCTATATCATTTTATTAGGTATAATTTTTGTCGACGTTTTGGATTTGTTCCATGCACATTAATAGGTAGACATTCGGGCTATAAATTAGTGTATACATATATTTTTGTTAAACTACTCTATATTGGAAATGCTATCGGTCAACTTTTGTGTTTAAATTTATTCATGGGTGATGGCTTTACTTTTTACGGCATTAAAATGATTCAACGTTGGCTCAATGGTCTTCCATTATCTGATGAGCAACGTTTTCCACGTATATCTATATGTGAAATATCTATTCGAGCACTCGGTGATAATATTCAACGATATAATGTTCAATGTCTTCTACCAATTAATATCTATAATGAAAAGGTAAAAGGATCTATTTAGATTTAGATGTTTTCTATCAAGGAAAGTTTTTCATTTTAGGTCTTTTTAGTCATTTGGTGTTGGCTTGTATTTGTTGCTATAGCTTCAATTTATGGATTATTTAAATGGTTCTTTTACTTGTCATCATGCGCTCGAATTAATTTCATTCGTAGATTTTTAAAAGCAAATGATGTTCCGTATTGTTACAGATCATCTTCATCAATGGGCACTGATTCAAATGGTGATCAAGTACCTATTAAACGTCTTGCAGAATTTGTTAATAGTTATTGTCGACAAGATGGTATATTATTGTTACGTATTATCAAGAAAAATACAAATAATGTTATTGCCGGCGAAGTTGTTTGTGCATTATGGGATAATTGGAAAATAATGCCTAAAATTCGTTCAAAAGCATCACCTGAATCGGATAATGGCGGTCAAATAATTGGTTTAGGTGTTAAAGGTTCGATGAAACAGAATGGTGCTGGTGAAGGAATTGAAAAATTATTACCGCCTATGTCAGGCATATTGTCGTAAATAATTGGGAAAAAAACATTAAGTTAAACTAGAAACTAGATATACACGTTTAGAGAAACAGGATGATATTGCTGTTTTTTTTTTTTCATTGTTGTATTTTTTTCTGCTTTGGTTTTGATTGTGTAAGCTGAATTGATCAGAACTTGATATATTCCTATTTGAATTATCATCATTATTATATGTTTCTACGCTTTTCTGTTCTTTTTTCTTTCATTTCGTCTATGTAGTAGTAATAATAAAACATATGTGAAAAATGTTAATGAATGAACTCGAAGAAGAAAATTCTTGTCAATTGAATATAGTTAGTTTTTAATTCTTTTGTTAAATGATCTTATGGGAGGTAAACAAAATAAATATACACGCGTTACTGTAAATAGAAAAGAAAAGAAAGGAAACGACTAACCATGTGATTGAACAGTAGATAGCTAGTAGTTTGTTACTTATCATTTCGTCACCTCACAACAAATTCGACGATCGATAGAAGAGCTTACTCTTCAAAATGCTTTATCCTGTTGTTCAGGCATTTAGTGAACTTGGTTTACCAAGACTAAGAAATGATGATTTCTTTGATCAAATTAGTCGACGATATTCCATAATCATCTTAGGTACATTATTTATCATTGTTACAACATCAAATTTGGTTGGTAATCCAATATATTGTTACACACAAATGGTCGACATTCAATATAAAATCGATTATGTCAATTGGGTTTGTTGGATAAGTTCATCTTATTATTTACCATTTGATAAAGCACTTCCAAATCGAAATCAATCACCACCTGAAAAAATGTTTGTAAAAATAAAATGAAAGATTTTCTTTTATTCGTATTATTTGTTTTAGTTCATATTATCAATGGGTACCATTTATTCTTTTTTTCATGATGATGCTTTTCTATATACCTGGTTTTCTATGGCGAAAAATGAATCGAAATTGTGGTCTTGATACAAAGGTGATCACAAGTATATTAGCAGATATCGATCCAATCGATACTGAAAATCGAAAAGATTCTATAGATTTATTAGTTAAACATATTGATAGAGCATTGACTTACCATCGTGATTATTATCATGGATTTATGTAAGTATAGATCAATGCTGTTTTTCTGATAGAACTTTTCGTCTAATATTGTTAGGTTTAGTACGTGGAAACGTTATTCATGGTTATTTTGCTGTAGTTTGGGTAAAAAATCAGGAAATTACTTAGCTTGTGGTTATATTATTGTTAAATTACTTTATATTGCAAATGCTATTGGTCAAATTTTCCTTCTAAATATTTTTTTGGGAAATCAATTTCATCTTTATGGTTTTGAGGTTCTAAAAAAATGGTTTTATGGTCAGCCAATAGAAGTCGCTGAAAAATTTCCACGTATAACTATGTGTCGATTGACTATTCGGACACTTGGCGATAATATTCAACCATATGATGTTCAATGTCTTCTTCCAATTAACATATTTAATGAAAAGGTAGAAGAATAGGTTTTTTTTTTGTTTTGATAATAAATACAATCGATGAATTGTTTTATTATTTTCTAGATTTTTTTAATTATTTGGTTTTGGCTTGCATTTGTTTTTCTTGCTTCAATTTTCGGTCTTGTTAAATGGTTTCATTATTTTACTCTAAGCTCACGTAAAAACTTTATTCGTTGTTTTCTTCAAGCAAATCGAATCAATTATTTTTCGGAGAACACAACAAGTTTTGATATTGAAATGGTTCGAACTTTTGTTGATCGATATTGTCGACAAGATGGGATTTTATTGTAAGATTACATTTACATGTGAATATCGTTTTATTTTTCTCATTATTTTTCAGATTACGTATTGTTGATGCAAATATTAATCATGTTCTTGTGGGTGAACTTGTTTGTTCACTTTGGGATCACTGGCATATGCAACGAAAAATTCGTATTGATGCTCTATCGCAACATTCTGACGATTATAAAACTAAATTACTTGATGAACATGATAATTACCATTCAGGTTTAATTCCTTTGACAGAACCAATATCGATTATTCATGATGATCGCTATGTAGCCTTCCCAACTCATATTGTATAACATACAAAAGCTATAAAGATTTTGTATAGTTTTTCTAGTTCGTATTTTTTTTGTCTTTTGTGACGTAGAAATTAGTTTATTTTTCTTGTTGTTTTAGCTACTTTTGAAAAGAAAATTAGTAAAAACTGATTTTTGTTGCAAATCATCTTACCACATTTTATTTCAGACGCTTTCGTCTAGACTAATGAAGGAGAAAAAGAAACTATTTAAATTTCAACAAAGATACTTCGTCGTTTAGAATTTTCGGAGTTGGATAAACGATCTGATTGTTTTGATATAAACTATTATTCGACTATATTTATCTAATGCGAAGTAATTTTCGTTTCAATAAATATAGTATTCGAGTGCTGAAGCATAAGAATATTTTAAAGGCTTAAAAATTTAATCTGTGTCGAAAATATCTGTTGCAATATAATTCACTAAAGAAGATTAAATTATTGAAACAACAGAAATGTGAATTGGTAGCTTAAATCCGTGTATCTCTCTCCTTAACAATCTAAGCTTCTTTCATAGGGTAATATTTATTGAACTCTATCACCTATGTAAAAACAAATAAACAACGAAGAATTGTAAATCTTTTAGTTCTTTTAAACACAATAATTCCTCCACTCAGTGGCGGCGGAGTCACGGAGACCCGCGAGGCTTGAGCCTCACCTAAATTTGAGCAAATGAGGTTTAGTCTCACTTGCTTCGTACTGAATATTGTTATTTTTTCTCTCTCAAGATTTGCTATGATGTAAGCATCTAATCTAACACGCCTAGATACATATTCTCTCATATATCTATGTTATAGTGCGATTCAGTTGACGCTCATTTTTCTTTTGTTCTTCTATTCTGTTATCGTACAGATGAAATCAATTCCTTTAAGTAGTGTTTCATTGACACACATATACAAATAAAAGATGGATTCTCGGGGTTTCCAAACGTTAGACTGTTGTGTTTTTGACAGTTTCTTTCAATTATCTCAGAAACTGTAATGGCTAGAAAACTCATTCGATACACCTTATCTTGCTCTATGTATAATGTGAAAGTGATTCTTTTTTATTGAAGTTTCGAACTTCCGGAAACTTTTTTTTGGCATCGGAACGCTGTTACTTGAAAGGACTCTTTTCACGGGTGGCACTGGAACAAGTACGATTTTTTCAAACAGCATTTCTTCAAATGAACTTTTAAGTGGTAAAAAAGATTTTTCATAAGTCACATTTGTTGTAATAAAAAAATGCAAACAGCAAACGTAACGCTTCTACGCTATTTTTTATTGATCAATTTAGGGCCACTTTACATGCTGATATTTATTTGATATTTAGAGTAATTGGTCTATTCTTTACATATAATCACCGTAAAAAAAAAACAAGTTGCTGCATCGAAGCGGAAGATCGTTATCATTACGAAAAGTTGAAACTCTTCAACAGTGTAAAAATTGTCTTGAGGAGTGAAAGTTAAATATAAACAGGCTATGTCTTAGAAAATTAAATTCCGCAGCGAATGTGGTATGGTAGGCAGCATTTTTCCAAAAATTTCTGTTTAAAAATTCAAAATACGATTTTTGAAAACCCTTAAATACGATTTACGAAGCCAAAGTTTCATTTTTTTCAAGAAAAAAACTGCTAGATACATAATCAGCGCAAAATAAGCATCTAATGATCTATAAAGATCTCAGTCTGGAAAAAGAATTTTGAATAACTTGATCACCGAAGTATAGCATTAGGTGGACAAACCATTCTGTTGACTTGAAAAGTTATTGTTCGACTTTTGCATCAGAGCAGGAGCAACGAAAAGTATTTTTTGGTATTTTCTAATCTTTCTTTTTATGTTGACAATTTTTATTTTTACTGAAGTTTGATAAAAAAGAAGACTTATTTTCTGCTTGATACTTTGATAAAATTTCACGGTAGAAAAAAATATTATGAGCCTCACCCTCAGCTTAATGACGCTCTGCTGCCCCTGCCCTCGCTCAAAGTTCGATTGATCGAGCTGCCATTGTGCGTGTTAATACTTAAAAAATGTAAATGGTTCAAGGATTTGTTGACATTCTTTATATAAATTAGATGTTTCGTTTTAAAATTTTTTATATTCCTATCATGATAATATAATGAAGCTCAGAGAAGCAAAAAAAGAAAAGTAAACAAAACAATAGAAACAAGAAAAACATCCATATGGTCACAGGTCGAGGTTTACAGAGTCCATATACGATTGTAAACGGTCGTGTACGCTCCGCTTACCCCCGCACACGATCGTATTTGGTCGTAATACATGGTTCAGTATGACGATCGTATATCTTCGTGTCTTGTACAGTAAAATGCGGAGCAAAACGGAGATCGTATACGGACTCAATTTCAGGTCAACAATTCCAGTGACCCGGAATCCAATCCGGATTTCATCGGGTTTGCTTGGAATTCGACGAGAACTGATAGGATTCAGTCGAATTTTATATCGGAATCCGGATCATTGGATTTCCACTTATTTCCGATAGTTCATCTTCATCCTGGGATGTACAGGAATCGTAAAAGACCGTTTTGTCTCCTTATATGACCGTATTTCGCCGTATACAGTCGTAAACGACCGTGTTTGTTCGACATGGCGTGGCTTAGTAATCAAATATTGATTTTGCAATCAGACATGTTGTACACTACGTTGATCACGTTCTTAAATAGAAGAATGAAAGGAATACATGAAGGAATGTTAAAATTTCAGATCTCGCTCAGCATCTTTCATTTTGTCTAAATATAATTTGAGAAGATAACGCTGAGCAATAGCATCAATAACCTCTTTCACCTCTTCAATGGTTCGATTGATTTTGATAATGTTAAATTTACTTGCGCCTCAGAAAGGCCTAAGAACACGCGAGAGAATGTCTATCATTTCTCAGCTTATTATTTTCCTGAATATCGTGACTATAAATCAAGAATAAAAGTTCATCTACATAAAATATTCATTTATCGTTTGATATCCAGGTCGAACAGTCCGGCCTGGAAACGGTCGGCTCCGGGTAGTTTCGATCAATTCCTGCCGGAAAGTACCGAAGCCTGGCAGGAATTCGACGGAAAAGTTTGGCCGTATTTTTGACCAGAATACTGCTTCCATGTTCCAGCGATTTCCCGTGTTTTCCTGCAGGATATGGTGACTGTCAGGCATATTTCCTGGTGTATTATACGGGATCCGGTGGCCGGAATGTTCGACCTGGGGCCAGATAATATTCTACAAGATTTGTAATAATTTCGCATGGAGATGTACTTATCCATTGATTTCCCATTCGAATGTCTACTATATTTAAGATATTTAATCTACGTTGTGATCGCTCACTCTCCGATGCTATACGGTAAAGCAGGTGATAAAGCTGTAGGAATCTTGATATCAGTCTATTTTTCATTAAGAAAGCTTGTATTAGATAATAAATAATGTAGAACTGCAATTATGGATTTAAAAGTAAATGCAAACCAACGTTTTTAATAGAAATCTAAAATAGGATGTAGACATACACTCTACTTTTCCGTGTAGCGTGTAACTGTACACTGTATTTCGGAGATCAAAATGTAAAAAATGTACAAGAAGTTAAAATGTTGATTTGTACAGATAAAAAAAGCAAGGGGGAAAAAGCGGATTCCGTCTATCCGGGATACGGTCGCGATCCAGAGGATCCAGAGGATACGAAGGATCCACCGACGATACAGAGGATACGAAGGATCTAGCGACGATACAGAGGATACAGAACATAAGATCATAGCTAGGGGCGGCATTTCAATTTTGAAAACACTTTAATAGAGTATGAAAGTTTAAATTAATGTTTTAAATATTAAATGTTAAAGTTAAGGACATTTTAGC